TCCCACTTGCAAAGCAGGTGCTCTACCACTTGAGCCACTCCTTCAGTCCATGTTGCTCTGGCTATTTTGGAGATGGGGTCTCCAGAACTATTTGCCCAGGCTGGTCTCAAACTGAGATCCTCCTGATCTCTGCCTCCCAAGTGGCTGGGATTACAGGCGTGAGCCACCTGTGCCGGGCTGGTGTGAAACTTGTCAAGTGCCAGCAGGATGGTGCAAGTGGAAGATTTCACCCTTGCCCTCCCTGGACGGGTCAGAGGGACAATCCCGGTGCACTGAAACTATTGCAGAAAGTGGCCCCGGGGTGATGTGGGTAGGAAGCCGTGTGGATCTGGTGCCCGGTGACTTGTGTTTACACTTGGGTCTCCTCCCCAGGGTAACTCGTTCCAAAATCTGGAAGGACCTGAGTCCAAAGCAGGTTAGGGCCCAGCGGAGGCAAGCCTGATCTATACAAGGAACTGGGCAGGGGGGAGCAGGGGGGTCACGGGTGGCCTCACGGACAAGGGCTGATGTCAGGGCAAAGACGTGAGACAAGTGGTGGTGGGAGACGTGGGCTGAGTGGAAGGCAAAGGGAACAGCAGTGCAAAGGCCCCGTGGCAGGACTGTGCATGAAGTGTTGGAGGAAGAGTGAGGAGGCCGGTGTGGCTGAAGCCTCCAGAGGGGGATGGCGAGGTGACAGATGGCAGACTTCGGGTGGCACAGAGATGGGGGTGGGCTTGAGCACTGGACACCCAGATCCTCCAGCTTCAGTGTGGGGACAATTGACCGGGAGGGAGATAGGAAGAAGTTGACTGCAAGCCAAGTGCAGTGGCTCACTTCTGTAATCCCAGCTACTTGGGAGGCTGAGATCAGGAGGATAAGGGTTCAAAGCCAGCCCCCGACAATTTATAAAACCTTATCTAGAAAATACCCAAGACCAAAAGGGGTGGTGGAGTGGCTCAAGAGGTAGAGTGCTCTGCAAGCAAGAAGCTCTGAGTTCAAACCCAAGTCCCACCAAAAGAAGAAGAGTGGAGTAGTCCAGGAGAGAGGCAATGGTGGGTTTTAATCCGTCTAAAGTTCCTTCCTGCCGTCCATCTCCAGACATGGACTCTGAGGCACAGAGAAGTTAAGCCACGTATCCACCGTCACACAGCGAGTGGGTTGGGTTTGTTTCCAAGTTTGTCCAACTTCAGCCGATCTGTGAGAACTGGACTGCCTTCGGAGGGGGTGACAAGCCCCTGTCAGCAGGTGCTCTGAACTGGGGACAGTTCCAAGATACAACACTGAATGAGAAAGATGAAGAGGTAGGAGGAGGCTGCTGTGTGACCTTGGGAAGAGCACTCACCTCTCTGGGCCTCCTTTGCTTCTGGCCTGAGGTGGTGCTCTTAGTCCCCTCCCCAGAGGGCATCTGGGAGAAGCCTAAAGATGGAGAGTGGTCCCTGCCCTTCTCCCCTGCTGGGGCCAAGCTCTTCCCTGGGGACAGAAAGAATGAGGGCTTGGCTCCCCTCCTGGGAGGATGGGGACTCTTTGGTCAAGAAACTCTGCATTAAGAGGGCGACATTGGACTGGGGTCTTGTCTTGACAGAGGAGCTAGAAAGGCATTCCTGGTGGGGGAACAGCATGTGCAGAGGCTCAGAGGTAGGAGACCTTGCTCTCCTGCTGGTGTCAGTAGAAAGGATCAGAAGGACCCAGGTTACACAGGGCTGTGGAGGTGGCCAGCAGGAGGGTCAAGACGTTGGGCCTTTCTATCCAGCATGGTGGCTCATGCCCGTAATCCCAGCTACTTGGGAGGTGGAGAGAGGAGGGTTGTGGTCCTGGGCCAGCCTAGGCAAAAAACAAATAAATAAATAAATAAAATAAAAAAGAAACACCCTATCTAAAAAAAACAAAAAAAACTAAAGCCAGAAGGGCTGGAGGTGTAGCTCTGCAGTAGAGCATCTGCCTAGCAAGTACAAAGCTCTGAGTTCAAACCCCATCTCCACCCCCCAAAAAAAAGGTTTAGGTGTCTCTTTTTTTGTGTGTGGTACTGGAGTTTGAATTCACTTTGAGCCACTCCACCAGCCCTTTTTGTGATGGGTTTTTCGAGATACGGTCTTGAGAACTTTTTGCCCGGGCTGGCTTCGAATGGCAATCCTCCTGATCTCTGCGTCTTGGGTAGCTGGGATTACAGGTATGAACCACTGGCACCCGGCTGGGTTTTAAAAAAAAATTTTTTTTTTGGCAGGAATGGGGTTTGAACTCAGGCCTCACGTTTGCTGGGCACTCGCTCTATCACTTGAGTTCACTTCACCAGCAAGGGTTGGGCATTTCTTCAAGTCCCATGTCCTGGGGTCCCCAGGCGGGACTGACCAGTGATCTCCTAGCCCAGACCCGGCCCATCACGTCCGCTGAGGCCTCCCTAGAGTCCATCCTCCACTCTGATGGGGCGATCCCTCCTGCCAGGCCCCGCACATGGTCTGTGGGCACCAATGGGGCTGTGACCCAGGGAGAGCAGAGGTGGCCCTGCTCTCACTTGATTTGAGGCAGGCAGGGAGAGCACAGGCCACCAACCTGTTTGGGAACCCAGAAACAGAATCCAGGTGAGCACGCATGGGACCTGTGGGGCCTCCCTGCTCCCTGGTGCCAGGGCCACATTTCAGGCCAGGGGACAGCAGCTGCAAAGGCCTGGAGGTAGGGCAGGTGATCATGCTTTTGGGTGCTTGGCTGGCACCCAAAAGGAGGGAGGAGTGAACACAGGGAGGGGTGAACTGGAAAGTAACCGCCCACAGGGCCAAAGGGCCACGGCTACTGGGGTTCAACCCCAGCTTGGGGCTCCCTATGCAACCCAGGGTGGCCTTGAACTCCTGGACTCAAACAATCCTCCTCCCTCAGCGTTTGAGAGTTTAGGGCTACAGGTGGATGTTTTTCCCCAAGCATTCTGCCACCTTAAGGCGCACTCCAGCCCTTGCCTTTGTATTTTGTTTTTGAGACACTGTTACTAATTCTGCCCAGGATGGCCTGGAATTTGTGATTCTCCTATCTCCACCTCCCGAGTAGCTGGGATCATAAAAAGGCTCCATTGCACTCGGTTCTTGCTGTGCAGCTTTGGGCAAATAGTTTGCCCTCTCTGAATCTCTATTTTCTCATCGGTAGCGTGGGGGAATGGGCAGCGTGCCCTCATATCAATTGGTTTATTCTTTTGGTGAACATTCCAGGGGCTCCTGAAGGGCACAGGATCTTTTCCTGCTGGATGACTCCGTTTCCCTCTCCAGCTATGGAAAGCACCCTGAAGGAGTCCTTGAGATCAAAGAATACAATAACGCTCCACGGAGCTTCCCCGTCCTGAGTATCAAGAACCCAGAACTTAAAATATATTAGTCCTTTTAATCTTCAAGTAGGATTAAACCCGGAGGCAGAGATTAATGTGACAGATGAAGAAACTGAGGCCAAAGGGGAGGAGGCACATGTGTCCTACTGAAGCAGAGCCCATTTAGAAGCTAATCTGCCTAGTAACGGATGACTTCACAGCGCCCGCCCCCTGGGCTAAATCTGCCTGGTAACCGTTGACGTCACAAATTCCACCGTCTATTCCAGCGTCTGCTCAACCCATGAGAAAAGGTGGTAACTCAGACACAGTGATTACAATTCCCTGAAGGCCTACTGTGTGCCAAAGGCGGTGCAGATCAGGGCCACCTGGATATTGTCTCTATTATGACATCTAAAGATCAGTTCTAGCTTAATCATTGCTACCCTTATTTTTTTAATTTAACAAACTTTTTTTTTTTTTTTTTTTTGGTGGGACTGGGGTTTGAACTCAGGGCTTTGCACTTGCAAAGCAGGCGCTGTACCACTTGAGTCGCACCTCCAGTGCATTTTGCTCTGGTTATTTTGGAGATGGGGTCTTGAAAACTATTTGCCTGGGCTGGCCTCGAATCTTGATCCTCCTGATCTCTGCCTCCTGAGTAGCTAGGATTACAAGTGTGAGCCACAGCACCCGGCTCACATGAAAATCAAGTCAGTGTATTGTCCTTTGTGTGCTATAAAGCAACACACATGGGAAGTAACAGTGTAGTGGGAAAGACAGCAGATCCAGGATTTGTGGGGCCCAAAGCTTAGACCATTTAGCAAGGGGTCCCCTTAAAAAAAAGAATTGCCAGGTGCCTACTTTGCAAATGCAAACTCCTGAGTTCAAACCCCAGTCCCACCAAAAAAACCAAACTTACTGTCTATGACTGCAACATTAGGTAGGTGGGATGATTATTTAGAGAGAAAAAAAGAAATCACAGCAAAATGTTTCATTTTGAAAATCAACAAATACCCACAAATATCCCAGAAAAATAACAGACCATTAACTATCCACACTTGACCCAGCCTCATCAGTGTCCCATGAAAACCAGCGAAATGTCCTTTTTTGTCGCTACTGGGGTTTGAACAAAGGGCCTTGAGCTTGCCAGGCAGGTGCTCTACCACCTGAGCCACGCCCCAGCCTTTTTATTTTTTGCTTTTGTTATGGCCTAGAACCTTAATCTTCCTCACTGCTTCCCAAGTAGCTGGGATTACAAGCATGTACCACCACACCCTGCTCATCTGCTCTTAAAACATCACACCATGGAAACTTAATTGGCTGGGTGAAGGCAAAGGCGTCACAGGGTTTTGGACAAACGCTCAGACCATTTAAGCATCACTGGTGACTCATTGTGTGTGGCTTTCACACGTGGGCTGGGCACCTGCTGTCTGTGGCCTGGTTTTCCTCCTCATTTGTCAAATGGTCTGGTGACTTGGCATCTCGCTCCAATTTGGTGTAATGAATGTAAAGTCCCCTGGGTGTCCTCAGCTGTGTGGCTTTGGGCAAGTCACCCCACCTCTCAGTGCCTGGTTTTATCAGTTAAATGGAACTAATAAGAATTGTGATGTGACAGGATTGCTGTGGGGGGCAAGTGAGACCCCCCCACTTTTGCAGATGGACAAACTGAGGCTCAGAGAGGGAAAGTCCCCTCGCCCTCCTCCTTTCTCTTCTTCATGGTGTCTTCTTCTCCCTCCTGCAGCCAGAAGTTACCAGGCGAATACTTCAGGTATAAAGGTGTCCCCTTCCCCGTGGGCATTTACTCGCCCGAGAGCATCAGTCAGGCGGAGTATGCCACCGATGTACGGGACGACGACATCTTCATCATCACCTACCCCAAGTCAGGTATCTGTGGGGCTGGGGACAGTGGGGAAGGGGTGGGGCAGGGTGAGAAACCAGGCCTGGCCTCTGTAGGTCCTAGTGAACTTGGCTTTTGCCTGAACACCTTCCCACAAGTGGCACCCGGCCAGTCCCCCATCTCCCCCTCCTGGTGGGCTCCTCACCTGAGCCCCCCAACCAGCATTGCGCCCCCTGTTGGCCACCCCGCGGCATCACTTAAATGCTACTTGGTCATCGTTGGGGACCAAGAGCAGCAGCTGGTGGGAAAGACGGACCTTGTTTAAATGCACAGTTGGAGGATGAAGGAGAGCAGAGGAAGGTGAATCAAGTATATTTGATCCATTGTAAAACCTTTGCAAATGCCACAGTGTACCCCAAGCACACAATAATTTTTAAAAAGCGTAAAATAAAATAAAATAAAGCCCAGTCTCCAGCATTACCGTATAGTTACAGTCAAGGGAGTCCCACCAAGGAGAGAAGCAGAAAGGGTTGGGTGAAGGTGACAGATGGCGCCTGGGGGACCAAGGGCAGCTCCCTGCAGAGATGTGTGTGCTGAGACCAGGTCCCGTGGCCAGGTCACAGGAACGGGGAGATGCCCTTAGCAGAGGAACAGCATGTGCAAAGGCCCTGAGGTCAGAAGGGAAGCAGTGAGTTTGAGGGAACAAGAGATCAGGGGAGGTGGCTGAAGCTGCAGCCAAGGTGCACCTCTGTGACCATTTTACTCAAAGTGCAAAGACAACCTTCTGGAAGGTTTCAGTGAGAGATGAGATGGACTTTAGTGTTTCCTTCTCTAAAATGGTGAGGTTACCAGGCTCTGGTGGCTCACGCCTATAATTCCAGCTATTTGAGAGACTGAGATCAGGAGGATCAAGGTTTGAGGCCAGCCTGGGCAAGAGTTCACACGACCCCATCTCCAAAATAACCAAAGCAAAATGAACTGGAGGTGTGGCTCAAGCGGTAGAGCTCCTGCTGTGCAAGCGCGAGGCCCCGAGTTCAAATGTCAGTCCCTCCAGGGGAAGAAAGGAACATGCGCTGAGTTCTTCAGACACGTGACGCCGTGTCGGAGGCAAGCGTAGGTGTCTCTCTCACTTCATAAGCAGCTGGCCAGCTGTTTTCCAAAGCAGCATTACTGCTCGGCCTTCTCACCAGCAGCAGAGGCGAATCCCGGCTGGGCCGTGTCCTTGCCGGCACTCGGCACTGTCAGGTTGTTCTCAAGCTGTTTTGATAGGTGTGTGCTGACACCTGGTTCTCGTGTCCCTGATGACTAAGGACGCTGGGCACAGCTTCACGAACACACTAGCCGTGGCTATCTTCTTGGCAGAGTGTCTGCTCGTATGAGTCTCTTCTTTCTGGTTGGGTTTGTTTGTTGGTTTTTCTTATCATAAAGCTTTGAGATGGGGTTTTTTTTGTGTATGCTGGGGATGGAAACAGGGCCTTGTGAATGCAAGACAAATACACTGCCCTGAACTACGTCCCCGGCTCTTGATTTTTTTTTTCATGACTGTAAATTAAGGGTCAGGCATCGTGGCTCACATCTGTAATCCCGGCTAATTGGAAGGCAGAGATCAGAGGTTTGAGGTCAGTCTGGGCAAAAGTTTCATGAAACTCCATCTCAACAAAGAAGCCAAGTATAGTGGTGCATGCCTATCACCCCAGCTATGTGGGAGGCAGAGGTAGAAAGGAGGGTTGCTGTTCAAGGCCAGCCTGGGCAAAAGTGAGACCCTATCTGAAAAATGAAGTGAAAAAAAAAAAAAGGCTGGCTTACAAAAAAGGCTGGTGTGCCCATAGGCAGAGTGCCTGCATAGCAAGGGTGAGGCTTACGTGGTAGAGAGCCTGCCTTGCAAGTGCAAGGCCCCGAGTTCAAACCCCCAAAAAACGAAAAGAACATAGGAACACCTGCGTGCCCTCCCACCTCCACCCAGGACTGGACTTCACTGGGGAGGGCGCGGCTCTAAGATGTCCTGGTGGGAGAAGGGGTGTCACCAGGTGCCCACTGCAGGGGTGACCCCTGGGCATGACAAAATCTGGTCCTCATCCGGTGGTCCTCTAGCGCCCTCTGCTGGCACAGAGGAACGTGTCCACGGGACTCAGCTCCAACCTCATAAATGAATTCAGTAGAATGGCCTGGGGTGCACAGCTGTAATCCCAGCATTTGGGGTTGGAGGCAGGAGGATCACAAGTTCAAGGCCAGCCCGGACTATAAGAACAAAATAAAGCCAACAACAAAAAAGAATGAGCTGGTGACCGGCCCTGGGTGGGCGGTCACACCTGTAACCCTAGCTACCTTGGAGGCTGAGCTCTGGAGGATCATGGTTCGAAGCCAGCCCAGGCAAATAGTTCATGAGACCCCCCCCTCCAACTTCAAAACAACCAGAGCGAAATGGACCGAAGGTGTGGCTCAAGCGATAGAGCACCTGCTTTGTAAGCGTGAAGCCCTGAGTTCAAACCCCAGTCCCACTGCTAACCTGATCGTGTCTGTCCTCGTCACTGTCCCACCTCTGACTCCTCCCCGTTTCTCCCCCAGGGACCACCTGGATGATCGAGATCCTGAGCCTCATCCTGAAGGACGGGGACCCCTCCTGGATCCTCTCGGTGCCCATCTGGGAACGCGCGCCCTGGTGTGAGACCATCATGGGGGCCTTCAGCCTCCCGGACCAGCCCAGCCCCCGCCTCATGAGCTCCCACCTTCCCATCCAGCTCTTCACTAAGGCCTTCTTCACCTCCAAGGCCAAGGTGCGGGGGACGTTGGGGAGGAGGGGAGAGAGTGTAATTAATTGACTGAGTGAGTACATATTTACTGAGTCCGCTTGAATGTGACCCTGATCTAGCAATAGTAAAAAATACACACATGGTGGTGCACACCTGTAATCCCAGCACTTGGTAGGTGAAGGGTAGGGGATCATGAGTTCAAGACTAGCCTGGTCTACATTCCGAGAGAAAAATCTATCATTCTATCTATCCTTCTATCTATCTATCTATAATCTATCTATCTATCTGTCTATCTAGGCTGAGGACAGAGGTGAAGACAGGCTGTAACTATAGTGTCGCAGAGAGAAGTCACAGGCTGAACAATGACCTGTGTGGTGAGGGAGGGAGCCAGGGTGCACAGCGGGAGAGCAGGTGCAAAGGCCCTGTGCTGGGCGGGGGGTGTCTGCAGAGCAGCTGGAGCCAAGTCAGCGAGGGGGAGGAGTGAGATGAGGTTGGTAAGAGGTGGCCGAGGGCAGGCTCTCAGCAGAGGAGGGAGACGAGCTGGGCCTGGCTCGCTGGCGCCCTCTGGCTGCCACGTGGTAGGGAGGCCAGAGAGGAGGCGCTGCCGCAGAACTGGAGGCCCTCCTGATCTCAGCCTCCTGAATAGCTGGGATTACAGGTGTGTACCACCCCACCCGTTCATGCCTTTCTTTGGGCAAGGTAAACCTTGTATTATGCAGGACCAGGAAGTCTCATTGGTGTCAGTCCTGGAAATGTCACAACACCTGCCCTAACCCCCCAACTTCCAGAGCCTTCTGCAGAAGGACTCTGGGATGAGGGAGACCCACTGTGCCCTTAATGGGTCCTCTAAACTCTGAGCAGATTCAGCAGGTTGTAGGGACAAGGCCAAGCATGTGCCTGTGGAGGTTAGCTGGGAAGTCCCTTGAGCAGTCTGCCCTGAGTCTTTCCTGCTGCAGAGTCAGAAGAGGCAGAGTCAAAGGCAGGCACCCTTGGGCGCTGGGGTCCTGCCTGTATCTAATGTCTTCCTATCCTTCCCGCCATCCACACTCAGGTGATCTACCTGGGCCGGAACCCCAGGGATGTGGTAGTCTCCCTCTATCACTACTCCAAGATTGCTGGGCAATTAAAGGACCCTGGCACCCCTGACCAGTTCCTGCAGGACTTCCTCAAAGGCGAAGGTGAGGGTTAGGACACAGGCAAGTGGGAGAGGTGGGGACAGCCCAAACCCTGGCACAAAGGAGGTCCCGGGGAACCCAGATGGGAAGACAGCAGAGATAGAGGACATTGCAAAGGGTGGTGGAGCCGGGGACTGGTAGCTTCATGCCTGTAATCCCAGCTACTCAGGAGGCACAGATCAGGAGGATCGCAGTTCAAAGCCAGCCCGGGCAAATAGTTTGCAAGACCCTACCTCAAAATAAAACCTTTCACAGAGTGGCTCAAGGTATAGTCCCTGAGTTCAAACCCCAGTGCTGCCAGAGATGCATGCCTGGGGCAGAGGACTGGACAGATGGACAGACAGACAGGGTTGCAGATCTGAGGAGGGGCAGACTTGGCAAAGAGGTCTGGGGAGACATCCAGCTTTGAGGGACCAGACCTGGGTGCGTGTGCCAGGGTCCCCGCCACCCAGCCCTCACCCTGCCCTCTGCCCGCAGTGCAGTTCGGCTCCTGGTTCGACCACATTAAGGGCTGGATCCGGATGAAGGGCAAAGAGAATTTCCTGTTCACCACCTACGAGGAGCTGCAGCAGGTTGGTCCCCCACACCTAGGACTGTCCCCTTCTCCTGCCACCTGTCCCCTCAGGGGTCCCAGGCTTCAGCTCTGCTCCCCACCGTGGGGACATGGAACAGACAGAGGCCCTGAGCTATGTGCGGGAGACATGACCACTGGTAAATCAATAAAATACAGAGCAGGTCTGCAGGATGTGTCTGGGGAAAAGTGTGTCAGAACAAAGGGAACAGCCTGTGCAAAGGTCCTGAGATGACTTTTTTTTTCTTACTGTGTTCCCAGGAGAACAAAAAGACTTGTGTAGCCAGAGCAAATGAGGGAAGGGGAGGTGGTGGAAGATGGAGCCACCGCAAGGACTTTGGCTTATCTCAGAATAGGTGGGAGCCATGGCTGGGCTCTAAGCAGAGGATGACAAAGAGTGATGTGCTGAACTGTGTCATGTGAAAAATGAGCTTTAGTGACAGGCAGTGGGAAACAGTGGAAGGAAACAGCCCTTGAGGTGAAACTGGGATCCTAGGTGGACCCCAGCGAGGGGCCTGGGGCAGCCACAGCTTAAGAGGGGAACTCCTTTTGACTAGGACAATCAGGGAGGCCTCACTGGACGAGGGGGCCATACAGAATTGCTGTTGCTTTGCCCAGGTTTGTGGGCTTCTAGAGAGGATGGATCCAGTGGTTTATAACTTACGAGAGGGCTGTTCACTTGCCAAGTCCCACCATCCTTCACTGAGGGCCCCATGGTTGCTTTTCTCTTTTTGATGGAAAGCTCTAGATAAAAATTGGGCATTTTCCCTCCCCCATTCTACTTTGTTCTCTAAACCCAAAACTGGGCCACAGAGCCTAACAGAGCATCTGGGCCGCCCCTGGGTGTGTGGCGCCGCCTACGTGTTGGAGTTTCTGGGACGCGGTGGTTCAGGAGGATGAGGGTTATGAAAACAGCAGTGATCTGGAAAATCAGGCCGTGAGGCTGTGGCCATGCTGGGCACTGCGTGTGCTCCGAGAGGCAACGAGGTAAAGGGCGGGGGGACATTGGGCTTCAGAGACCTGAGTCTGAGCTCCTCCCTAGCTGTGTGGCCTTGGACAAGTGTCTTATGGGCCTCCACCTGAGGCAGTACTCCCCTTGCAAAGCTCATGTCCTGAGGAAGGTGACATTTGGGCCTTAGCAGTGGCAAAGGGTATTTCTGGCAGCCCTGTGCCAGATCTGGACAGAGGAAGGTGAGTCCTAGAGGAAGAAGTGGGGGCACTGAGAGACCAGGCCACCCATGTCCTTGAAAGCCTGGGGACCGGGACACTGTCCCAGGACAATGGGGAGCCACAGAGGAGCTGAAAGCTAGTCAGTGTGGGAAAAGTCGCAGGCAGGAGGAGGCTGGAGGCAGGGAGGCTGCAGAGGAGGCCGGGGTGAGGGTCTAGGAGGGAGAGGATCAGGACTGCGCTATATCAGGACTTTGGGGACATGGCAAAGGGAGAAGAGGGCGTAAGGGACAGGGCAGTGGGGGATAAGGAGGGGTAAGGCCAGGCCTGGGAGCCTCACCTTGGCATGGGCGAGGGGTGCTGGTCCTCAGGTGAGGGCGTGGAGAGGAGCAGCCCACACCTGTGTCACCCAAAGGCCACAGCTCTCCATGGGTGCTGAGCTGACCTCTGCCCCAGCCCCCAAAAACCAAACTGCAGTGAGGCCCAACCCCTTGGCTGGGAGGTGGGGAAACTGAGGAAAAGAGGCACTCAGACCATCCTGGGTTAGGACTGTGGGGTGGCCTCCCTCCCCCTCGGCTCACCCTGTCCCTGTCTCTCCCGCCCCAGGATCTCCAAGGCTCTGTCCAGCGCATCTGTGAGTTCCTGGGCCGGCCGCTGGGCGAGGAGGCGCTGGGCTCCGTGGTGGCGTACTCGGCCTTCAGTGCCATGAAAGCCAACACCATGTCCAACTACACGCTCCTGCCCCCCACCCTGCTGGACCACCGCCAGGGGGCCTTCCTCCGGAAAGGTGGGCTCGGGGCGCTGCCTGGCTGTGTGATTGGGGCTGCTTCCTTCACCTCTCTGGGCCTCGGTTTTCCTAGCCATAACATGGGGCGAGCAGGGGCTCTGTGGAGCCATGGTTTCCTTCACTCAGAGCTTAGCACAGCACATGTCGCCGTGTGCCTTGGCAAAGTTAGTGTCTCAAAAACAAAATAACACAAAAGGGCTGGCATGAGGCTCAGTGGTGGAGCACAAGCATGAGGAGGGGTTGTTAAAAGATGGACGCGGGTGACCCACACCTGTCATCCTAGCTACTCAGGAGGCAGAGATCAGGAAGACCGAGGTTCAAAGCCAGCTGGGGCAAATAGTTCACGAGACCCTATCTCAAAAAAAGCTTCACAAAAAAGGGCTGGTGGAGGGGCTCAAGGGGTAGATTCCTGCCTAGCAAGTGTGAGGCCCTGAGTTCAAATCCCGGTACTGCCAAAATTAAAAATAAAAAAGTTACATAGATTGCAAGGACCAGGACATCTGGGGAGGAGAGTGTTCAGTTCCTATGCCCTCACTACAGGTGTTATGTAATCCACATCACTTCCATGCTAAAATTCGGAACACTGTAATCCAAATGACATGGCCCTAAGACTCCAGGCAGGGGACTGAGTGACCAACCCAGGTGCGGAACCTGTGCTCAGAGCCAAGCTACAGCCAGGTGCCCAGAGTGCCTGCAATACTGGGGCTACTGGGACAAGGAGCCCCTATTGTAGCAGGGGAAGTTGGGGACAGGTGACAGGAGGTGACCTCTGGGCAGAGATCTAAGAGGTCAGGGGATAGAATGCAGGGCCAGCAACAGATGTGCAGAGGCAACAGGGCGGGCAGGGGACAGCCAGGTGAGGGAGGAGGTGACAAATGCGGGGCCTTGGCCAAGGAGGCACAGGATGCCATCTAGGGCTGGGGCGGAGTGGGAAGCAGGGACAGGGGAGGTGGCACCCATCCCCCTCACGCCCTTCGCCCTCCCCCGCCGTGCAGGGGTCTGCGGGGACTGGAAGAACCACTTCACGGTGGCGCAGTGCGAGGCCTTCGACCGCGTCTACCGGGAGCAGATGCGCGGGCTGCCCTCCTTCCCCTGGGACGAGGCTCCGGACGACGACAGCCAGGACCCCGAGCCCGAGCCCCTGCGCAGCCCCAGTCCCAAGCCCAACCCCACCCCCAGCTCCGACCCCAGCCAGGCCGCCGAGGCCCCCCACCCGTGACCCTGACAATAAACACGCCGCTCCACCCAGGCTGGGCTGCGCTCTGGGGTGGCGCGACGCGCGCGGGCGGCCGGGGGCGCGCGAGAGCAAGGGGCGCGGGTGCAGCAAGAGGGACGCAGCCAGGACACCCGGGATTGGGACAGCGTGGTCCTCTGCCCCAGATGGCGCGCTGTGGGGTCCTAGACTCAGAAGGAGGCTAAGGAGCTGCAGGCAGCCTGGCGCTGGGCATGTGGGGAGGGGGGAGAGCTAGGCAGCGGGGTGCCTGGACCCCTGGGTCCGGGGGTGGAGACTGGGGTCTGGATCCCTGGGTCTGAGGGAGGAGGCCGGACTAGGGCTCTGGGCCACACACAAGGGATGGGTCCCAAGAAGTTTAATGTGAGCCTCAGTCCCACTCCCCCAGTGCTCACAAACCTCTCAGCACCTCCCAGTTCCTTTCCTCAGCCCATCCCCCACCTCGCGTCTCTGACTTTCAATCCTTTCACCCTGCCCCCTCCCTGTCCTCCACCATCCCTCCTTCTGCCCTCTCCTGGACTCAGGTCACCCACAGTCCCTGCACCTGGTGGGTGGGTGTCAGTGCTTCCCCTTGTCCCAGCATCACAGCTCCATGGTGGGGGCTCTCAGGCAGCCCTTCTGAGAGAACCAGCCTCGCTGAGCGGATGTGCGCTGTACTGGGATCCGAAGCCAGTGGAAACGTCTGCCCACTTCCCAGATGGTGATACTGAGCCCTGGAGCAGTGCCGGGCTGGCTGGTTGTAGAAAAAGTGAAAATGATCCTTTGCTGCCCGGCCCCTGAGATCAGAGGCTTGGTCCACCAGCATCCCTTGAGCAGACACTCACTCCCCACAGGCGGGGCTCCCACATCCGGCCAGGGCTCCTTTCAGTGTTGTCCCCCTAGTCCCGAGTGAGATGCCCAGTCTGGCTGCGGGATGCCTCTGGCTTCCCCGAGTTTGGACACAGTGTCTTCACCAAACCTTCTTTGCACCGGGGACAGATAACGCAGGCGGCGGCGGGCAGGAGGCAGGGGCAGGGGGCTGCCCCAGGGCTGCAACCAAGCCACCGGGCGGGAGTCCCCCTCACCCCAGGGGCCCCCTCCAGTGCCCCGCTGCCTCATCAGGGCCCTGGCAGGGGTGTCCTTCGTGCCCCACGGCTTCTTGAGCTGTGAAGGGAAAGAGAAGGAGGTGAGAGGTGGCCCCTAGGGTCAGTGGGAGGGAGGAAGAAGGTGGGGGAGGAGAGGGAGGAGGGGATGAATGGAGGGGAGTGGAGGTGATGGCTTTCCACCTAGAAAGGAACCAGAAGTAGCTGGCACCTGCCCAGAGGAGCAAATATTTATCTAGGGAGGTGCTGCTGGCTGAGGGGGTGGGGACCAGGCGGAGGCGAGGACCTTGCCCCTGCCAGGCCCCCTTCATTGACTGAGGGGAGGAGATTCCGGGAATCTCACCCTCCCCTCCCACTTAGCAGAATGAGAAACTGAGGCTGAGGGGGCTACAGCTCCCAAAGGGACTGCACCCCGGACCACCTGATGCTGGCAAATCCACCTGTCTCCCCCACACAGCTCTTACTCCCCCAACACCCCACTTCACAGCAGAAGAAACTAAGGGTCACAGAGAAATGGTCACCTCTCCACTGGACTGGAGTGGCGCAGCTGGAGCCCCACTGTCTAAGCACCTGGGGGCTGGGGAATGCCTCTGAGCTCCCTTGATTCTCTCCCTCCTCCCAACATCCATGTGAAAACCCCAGGAGGGAGGCAGCCAGTGCTGAATTCCAGTCCCTCTCTGGAGCCTTGGTTTCCCCATCTGGGAAATGGGGATTAAATTTAATCCACTCCATCAATATGCTTGATGTGGGACCTAGTATGTGGCAAATGCCTGAAAAAGGGTGGTTTTTCCAACCTGGAACCAGCTACTTAACCTCTCTGAGCCTTGGCTTTGCCATCTAAAAATGGGTGTGATGAGCCAGGCGTGGTGGTGCACACCTGTAATCCCAGCACTCTGAAGGCTGAGGCAGAAGGATCGGAAGTTGCAGGCCAGCCTGGGCTGCATAGCACGACCCTGTCTCAAAAATAAAATAAATAAATAGGCCGAGTACAATGGTTCATGCCTATAATCCCGCTACTCCAAGGGTGGAGGTAGGAGGATCAGGGTCTGAGGCTGGCTTGGGCAAAAGTACAAGACCCTATCTCAAAAAAAACAAACAAACAAACAAAAAAAAACGCAAAAGGACTAGGGGCTGTGGCTCAGGTGGTAGAGCGCCTGCCTAGCCAACATGAGGCCCTGAGTTCAAACCCCAGTGTCTCCAAAACATAAATAAATTTGCTGGAATGATGTTATTATTTTTCATTCATCTTCATGGGCTAGTCCTCCCGTGCAAGCTGAGCATGAGGCCCACTGTTCAGTCCCTTTTGTAGATAGGGACACAGAGGCTCAGAGAAACCATCTACTATGTCAGGATTCAAACTCAGGGCTCAGGGTTTCTGCCCTGTGTCTCCCAGGGCTTGCTGCCTAGCACATAGTAGGGGACAGGAAACAGACTGTGTAGCTGTGATGACTTTGCTTTCCTGACCTTCCCAGGCACACAGTAGGACATCAGGACACACTTTCTGCTGTGGGGTTTAGGGCTTCTGCCTCCTCCCTCTTTTGGGCACAGCCCCCAGGTCTCACCTCGTTGTCACCGTCACTGGAGCCTGACAACTGGGACAGGCGACTGAGGTCCCACAAGGAGCGGCTGGGCCGGGTTGGGGGGCCACTGGCAGTCCGGGCATGCTGAATGCTCCTGAGGATATCACTGAGTGCAGGCCCAGGGGCGGTCTGTGTCTCCCTCCTGTCCCTCTCCGAGATGCGGCAGGCAGCCAGGCGGTGGGCCAGTGGGCTGTCAGGGGGCAGCGGAGACACTGGAGCTACAGGGCAGCGGTGGGCCACGTGGTGTGGGCTGCGGGCCAGCTGCAGGTCCCCCAGGACACTGACCAGGGGGTCACGGGCAGGCGCAGGTGGGAGTGGACAGGAGGTGGCATAGAGCATCCGGAACTCTCGGCTGAAGGCGTCAGCGATTTCCCCGGTCAGCAGGGTCACCAGGCCCCGGTGCAGGCGTGCATCACTCCATGTGAAGCTGGGGGACGTGGAGGGACAGAATCAGGATCTCTATGAACCCTGGCTTCCATCCCCAGTCCTCAGTGGGGACCCAGGGCAGACCATATGACCTCAGGCAAGTCCTGCCTGAGGGGACAACAAAAGCACCTACCCTGGGAGGCTGACGTGAGAATGACATAAATTAATACACTTAGATCAGGTGTGCTAGTAGATGCCAGTAATCCCAGTTACTCTGGAGGCAGAGGTAGGAGGACCATGGTCTGAGTGCCTCTGGGCAAACGTACAAGATCCTATCTGAGAAACAAACTGATAGCAAAAGGGCTAGGGACGTGACTCAAGTGCCTGCCTAGCAACTGCAAAGCCCTGAGTTCAAACCCTGGTATATAAATGATAAATGAATGAATGAATGAATAAATAAATAATAAAACCTAGGCAGATTCACTAAGAGAAAGTGGATCAAGTTCCCTGTCCTGAGCCAGCATGAAGCCTAAGAGCTCACTCACTGTCCCTGTCCCCACCTTGGCTGTCATTTAAACTCTCCAGCATAGCTGGGCATGGTGGATCCTACCTGTAATCCCAGCTACTTGATAGGTGAAGGTCATGAGTTTGAGGCTACTTGATAAGTGAAGGTCATGAGTTTGAGGTGACTTAGGCAAAGTCAGCGGGACTCCCCCCAACCCATCTCCAAAACAAAATACAAACAAAAGGGCTCAAGTGTAGAATGCCTGCCTACCAAGTGTGAGGCTCTGGGTTCCATCCCCAGAACTGCAAAAAAAGTTAATTTTTTTGGTAGTTTGAACTCAAGCAAGCTTTGCACTTGCTAGGAAGACGCACTACCACTTGAGCCACATCCCAAGGCCTCTTTTTTTGAGATGGGGGTCTCGAGAAGTTTTTGCCCAGGTTAGCTTCCAATCACAATCCTCCTGATCTCAAGCCTCCCTGGTAGCTAGGATTACAGGCATGAGCCACTGATGCCTGACAAAAAAAATGCAGTCTCCAGCACAGACCTAGGCGCACAGGTCTCTTTTTTCCAAGCCAGAAGAGAATGAACCCAGACTCTAACTGGTTCTCAGGGAATTTGGATGCATCCGGCTCCCTTCCCAGGCCTCGATTTGCCCATCTGGAAAATGGGGTCGCTGTGGGGGGGGTGGGGACTGAAGTCAAGTCACAGCTCACAGCAGAGCAGACGAATGAGTGGCCAGCGTTGTGAGTGCCCTTAAGCATCCTTACCTTGGCGGGGTGACAGTCTCCCCTCAGGTTGTGCTACCCTCCCCCACCTATGACCTCACCCCAGAGCAGCCACAGGGAACCCTGAGGGGTCTGTGATGTCACCACATTCCATTGCACAAAGACTTGTCAAGTAGTGGCTGCTGGCCCCTCTCCACCAAGGACTCACGCCCTAGAGGGACACGGAGTATTGGTAGTCAAGAACTCTGCATGCTGATCCCTGGAGACCAGGACCAGTGACAGGAGAAGTTCCAGCTCATTCAATTCAGCACTTCCGGGAGGTCCACGAAGGCCCCGGCCTGGCTTGGGCACCGTCCACGCCGCCAGGCCACCATGGTCCTCGGCTGGCTGCTGTTTCTGGCGATGGCTACACCTCCAAGCACGACAGGTACCAAGGAGTGCATCTTCTGTGAGTTGACCGACTCTACGAAGTGCCCAGGCACCCACATGCGCTGTGGAGATGACGAGGACTGCTTCACGGGTCACGGGGTGGCCCAGGGTGTCGGTCCTGTCATCAACAAAGGCTGCGTGCACTCCACCAGCTGTGGCCGGGAGGAGCCTGTGCAGTACATGGGCCTCACCTACAGCCTCACCACTACCTGCTGCTATGGCTTCTTGTGTAACGGTGGCTCCAGCCCCTCAGAGGCCGCCACCAGCCTGGCACTCAGCTTCCTGCTGCTCCACCATTGGCTGTGACCGGCTACCTGGCTCCCGACTGCACCACTTCCTGTGCCCCTTGCCTCCATCCCCTTCCCCCATTAAATGGCCAGAGATCCCAGACCTCTGTGGCCCTGGCTTCATCCATTCAAGGGCCGTTGCTCAAGCAACCAGTTCCCACGTGACAGGTCCTCAAAGCAGGCCCCAGATGGGCAGAGTCGGCGCCCGTTTGCCAGGGCCCTGTCCCAGACAGGGTGAGTGAGGTCCATGAAAGTCCTTCAAGGGACCCTGACACCCAGCCCTGGCTAGAAACCACTGTTCTAGACCAGCTGGGCACTTCTGTGCCCCAAGGGCATCTGGCGATGTCTGGAAATTGTTTTTTTTTTTAATTTGGTGGGACTGGGGTTTGAACTCAGGGCTTCACACTTGCAAAGCAGGAGCTCTACCGCTTGAGCCACACTTCCGGCACATTTTGCTCTGGTTATTTTGGAGATGGGGGTCTTGAGAGCTATTTTCCCGGGCTGGCCTCCAACCTTCCAAACTTGATCCTCCTGATCTCAGTCTCCCAAGTTGCTAGGATTACAGGCGTGAGCCACCATGCCCAGAAAGACTTTTTTTTCTTTCTTTCTTTCTTTTTTTTTTTTTTTTTTTTTTTTTTTTTACAGTACTGGGGTTGTTCAAACCCTCATGCTTGCTAGGCAGGTGCTCCACCACTGAGTCACTCAGCCAACCCTTTTTGCTTTTATTTTTCAGGTAGGGTTGTGCACTTTTGCCCAGGCAGCCTGGACAGTGATCCTCCTGTTTATGCCTTCCACGTCACTGGGATGACAGGCATCTGCTACCATACCCAGCCTGGAAAATGTTTTGCTGGTCATAATTACTGGGCTGGGGGTTTGCACTCCCAGCACCTGCTGAGGGGAGGCTAGGCAGCTCAGCATCTTACAGGGCACACAGTGGCCCCTGGCAAAAGTCAGTCTCTCCTCTCTTTCTGTAGAGGGGTAAACTGAGGCACAACACAGCTAGTAACTGGCAGAGCTAGGATTTGAGCCAGGCCATTTGGCCCTAGAGTCTGCTAGACCATCAAGAGTCCTAATCTTTCCACATCAGGAATCACAGGATTAAAGAGAGAAAGACCCAAAGCCACTAACTAGGCTAGCAGCAAAGACCTGACCCCAATAAGAAGTCTTTTTTTTTTTTTTTCTTTTGGGTGGGACTGGGGTTTGAACTCAGGGCTTTGCTTTGCACTTGCGAAACAGGAGCTCTACGGCTTGAGCCACACCTCCAGTCCATTTTACTCTGGTTGTTTTGGAGATGAGGTCTTGAGAACTACTTGCCTAGGTTAGCCTCCAACTATAATCCTCCAAGATCTCAGCCTCCCAAGTAGCCAGGATAACAGGTGTGAGCCACCGTAGCCTGGTACCAATAGCAAGTCTTTTGCCGCAGGACACTTCTGCAGGGAAGGGCATTTGGACCCACTTTCAGATTGGGAAAAAGAGGGTGGAAAAGGAGATACACCTGTCCCCCGGGCACGGGGAGGGACAGCGGAGTGCAGGATGCTGGGGCAGGAGTGACAGGGTGGGAGTCATACCTGTAGGACCCTGAGATGACCCTGTCTCCATCCAGAAGCACAAACTTCTCCCGCACGCTGCCGCTCACCTGCCGTCGCCAGCGGCTCTGGAAGGTACAGCCCTGCACAATGCGGATGTCCAGGTTCTGGTGGCAGAGGGGGACGGGGGGACATGTGTGCTTAGGCCACACCATGGACTTAGGCCCTTCAGGCTGGTTCTACCTGGGTGGCCCAAGACTCTATAGTAGCTGTTCCAGTGTCCCCAGAGCCACCAGTACCCAGCCTCTGGAGACTTGGGCACATTTACTCACAACCCCCCCCCCCGCTGATCCCCCCTGACCCCCCCACAATGCCATGGCATCAGATCTCACAGAGGGAACTCTCAGCTGGCTTCTACCTCAATGACTCAGGACCCATAAAAGGGACTTTTTCTGCTGCCCCCAGAGCCAGGATCCCTCTGGCCCAGCCCGTACCTCCGTGGTCCTGGGGTTCACCCCTAGCTGTTGGGCCAGTGCCAGGAAGGCAGGCAGCTGCTGACAGTCCAGGAGCACATAGACAGGGACCCATCGGCGTGTGGCAGCGTCCACCAAGTCCGAAAGCAGGTCTGGGTCAGTGAAAATATCCATGACCACAGCCACCAGCTGGGGGGGGCGGTGCAGAGAGACAGGGTGTGGACATGCGGACAGAGTGTGGGGTTTGGGTGCAGGAGGTGGGGGGGCCTGACATCAGGGCACGGTGGGGAGGTTCTCTGCAGGCTGGGTTGGGCTTGTTAGTTTTCTTTTGCTTCCTTTTGGGTTTTGGTACTGGGAATTGAACCCAGAGCCTCACACATGCTAGGCAAATGCTCTACCACTTGAGCCACACCCCAGTCCTGTATTTCATTTTTTCTTTCTTTTTTCTTTTTTTTTTTTTTTTTTTTGTATTTCATTTTTGAGAAAGGATCTCATTAACTTTGCTCAGGAACCTCGACCTCATGATCCTCCTGCCTCTGCTTCCCATTAGCTGGGATTATAGGCATGTACTATTATGCCCAGCTTGAGACATGTGCCTGTCCTCCATGGGATGTTTAGAGAGCAGGAGGGGACACTCCTGGCTACAATGAAAAACAGCCCTTTCTTAAGCTACCAGGCCCTGTCATCCTAAATCATATGTCTACCATGGTGAACAGCACCCCCAAACTGTGACATTACGGTGTCCAAATATCCATGCTCCAGGTTAGTGGCTGGGTGCCCTTGGAGGGCACTGTGGGTAACTGCACCTCTGGGTCTCCAGGAATAGCCTGAGTGCCAAAGACAAAATGCCTGACCTGCTAGGCCACCAAGGCGTCCTTTAGGGATGCCCAAGTGGCTGAGGGCCTGGACCTTGCAGGCAGACAAGGTAGCAACCAGACTAGCCAACCAGAGGCCTGGGTGGCTACTTTCAGGCAAAAGTTTAAAGTACCTGTGCTTCAGTTTCCCTCTCTGCACGTTAACCCATGAAAAGCACTTAACACCTAGCACTTGGTGTCTGGCAGACATCAAGACAGCTACATAGGGGACCAGGAGTGATAGTGCAGTTCTGTAATTGCAGCTATGCAGAAAGTAGAGGTAGGAGGATTGCAGTCCAAAGCTGGCCTGCAGAAAACAAATGAAAAGCAAAAGGACTGGGGAGTGGCCCGAGTGGAAGAGCCCTTGCCTTGCAAGTGTGAGGCCTTGAGTGCAAATTCCAGTACCACATTAAAAAAAATACTGCATAAAGAAAGTGCTTTCTGAAAGCTTCAGGAGAAAGATTGGGACCTTCCCTGGGGGCAGCCTGACAACTCTGGGGCTTGGCGATGGTGGGGGATGGAGTAGATGACAACTGGAGTTCAAAATTTGGTCCAAGGGTCATAGATGCTTCTCCCCTGGTCAAGGGACTCCTCAGATTGGAGGGGATGAGGATGAGGCTTGTGGACTCCTGGGGAGTCCAGAGCCATGGGTCCTGGGTGCAGGGGTGTGGACTTGCAAGTCAAGACTCAAGACAGGGGAAGGGAGGGAATGCCTGAGTCCCTGTTCTGGGAGCTGGCATACGAAGATGGCCAGGTCTGAAGGATGGACACCAGGCCCCTGGGGACCCACCTTTTTGGCAGCTTGGATTTCCCTGTGTACCAGCTCCTTGATTGGCAATTGGTCCTCGCTGGGGGGCTGGGTGTAGAGCTGTGCCCGGGTGATGCCCTTCCAGGCAGTGTCCTCTGGCCAGCCCAGTCGCAGTACCGGTGCTGGCTCTTCTGATTGTCCAGGCCAGTAGGTAAGGCTGCCTACGTCCCCATCAGTGGTGGTGTTTCCTTCCACTGCCCCATCAGGCTCCTGCTCGGTGGCTGTCCAGTCTTGGGCTGCTGCTGCCAAGCCCTTGACCTCATCCCCACTCAGGAAAGGCCGCAGCCCTTCCTGCTGTATGCAGGCTTGGAATGCCTCCGCGCCCTTGCTCAGCAGGGCTTCGAGCGCCAGCCGCTGGCCCTCGGAGTACAGGAAGGCTGGGCTGGCCTCGGTCAGCACATCTGCCCCCAATTCCACTCCTTCCAGAGCTGCCAGCTGGGAGGCTGCCATCCTGTCTGCGCAGGTGGGAGGATTGTGAGAGGCCTGGTTCCCGAGGCTTTAGCTGTCTTTGGGGGTCTGACCATCTGGGGTCACCAGACAGGCAGACTCTATGCGGCCATCTGAGGCCTCCAGGGCAGTCCTGCCAATGTCCCCACGGTTCCCTGTGGCTACCTCTGGCTCACAGTCCCAATAATCAGACTATCCAAGTGCCCAATGTCCCAGGTCTGAAGTCAACACCCTGCCCAACTGGCCATCTCTGACTTTCCCACCAACTGTCTGACAGACAACAGCTCAACACCATCTCCAATTCTGTGAGCCATCAGCTGGCCACCTCTGTTCCCCCAAATGCCAACCTCTAGCCTTCCAGCCACAAGTGCCCTAGCAGACACTTCAACAGTCCCAAATTTGTCTGGCCAATCACCCACCTGCTCTGGCCGGAATGTCTGGTTAAGTGCCAACCATTTGTAGGCAAAAGGCTGCTTGCCTGGTCCTGGCCACCCAACGGTCCCTAGCCAATGGTGCAATGGGCAGCCAGTTTGACTCTGGCTGGTGTGTCACACTCTCTCTGGCTTTCTCCCACTGTCTGGCCTGAATGATCGCCTGGTGGAGCCCCCACTTCTCTAGCCGAACTTGCCTGTCTGGGAGAGCTCCTGTCCACGCACAGGCTCACTAGCTCTCAAGGGTGACCATCCAGGACGCCCGCACCCCCCCAGACCTGCCCCCAGTCTTGGAGGAACGTACCTGAGCCCTTTGTCACTATCACTCTTCCCCAGTCTCCTCCCAACCAGGAAGCAGGCTTCCTCACCCGCCCTCCAGGCACACTACGGGGATTCCTATTACAGCCCGTGATCTTGACCGTGACCGAGCGTGCAATTCCTCAGACTGGACCCCAGCCTTGACTTCCGCCTAAATCCCATGGCACCTGCCTGAAGCACCCAACTACTTCCTGGACAGAGACCACTGTCTCAGATGCCTGCAAACCGGCCGCCCCTCCTCCCAGTTCCCACAGCACAGGTGACTGAGTTCTTCCCGATCACTCTGGGACCTAGAAAAGGTATTGGAGAAGGCCAGGTCTCCTCCCCACCCCAGTCCCTACCTCCTTCCTCCCTTCTGTCCTGGAGGACAGCACATGGAGACCTCCAGCCTTTTTATTTCTGCAGCTCTTCCGGTCTGGCCCTTGCCTCTCCAGGAGGCATCAGGCAGGGACATAGAACCCAGCCCCTTGTGCAAACACAGGGCACAGGTCCCTCACTGTATGCATGTCACATCCAGGCTCCCAGGGACTGGGGGCGGAGCCTCACCTATTTCCATGCCCCGCCCCATAGATCCTGGGAGAGGCAGGTGTGGCTAAATCCACAAGCAGGCAAAACACCTGACACCTGGGGAGGAGGTGGGGCACTGATGGTAGTGCCAGAGGGTCCAAAAGGTGCAGGGAAGCCCTCAGCTTGTGCAGGAACTGCCAGTGAACTCCACCCTCAGGGTAGAGAGGGATCTTCCTAGAAACTGGTCTTCCCCAAACTAAATGCACCCCTCAAGCCAATCTCACACCACCCTGACCCAGCCCACCCCCCATTAACACACAGAGGGCTGTGGGCTTCCAAAATCTTTAATAATGGGATAATATCCGTGGTTAGTTTTTGTAGCCTCGGCTGGCACGTCGGCCTCTGGCTCGCTCGAACTTCCGGCCCTTGGATCGGACATAGGGTCTGTGGGGAGAGGAGCAGGTGAGTGTGAAGCCAAGGTCTACAGCAGGCCCTGGCCAGCCAGTAGGTGCAGCACCACCCGCCCAGGGGGCTCAACACCCCACTGTGTGGCCGCTGTCCTGCAGTAGCTCCCATACTCACTTGGTGTGGCTGTGTGGGGTTCCTGGGGCCTTGCCAAAATGCCGGTACACCTCCCGGCCCTTGCGGGGACCTGGAAGGAAAGGATGGGTCAGGCACACAGCTGCTCTTCCTTCAACCCCACAGGGCTGAAGACAAGTGTGCAGTGTGAAATGGGCATGTGTCCCTGACCACCGAGGCCCAGCACCCACACAGCTCACACCACCCACCCATGGGATGGGAGCCACAAGGCAACTCTCACTCACCAGAGAGCAGGACGGTGCCGCGGCCCTTGGGGGAGTCCAGGGCCAGCTGGTCAAAGGTAAGAATTTTGCCCCCAGCCTTGAGGATGCGGCTGCGGGCCCGGCTGCTTACACGCAGTGCACACACCTGTTAGGGACAAGGGAGGTGGGGTTGTGGGGATCACCACCTATCACCCTGATCCAGCAGAGGCCTGGCTGGAGGGCTGTTCTTAATGCTTTATGTCTAAAACCTTCACCCCGCCCCCCATTACTGTTACACATAAGGAAATGGAGGCACACTGTCTAGAAATCACAAAGTTGACAAAAAAAAAAAATCTAGATTTGACTCCAGGCTGTTAGGCTCAAGAGCCAACATTGTCAACAGTTTATAACAGGGCCCCCCAGGTGAACTGTGATGATCCCATCTGATCCTGTGAGCCACCCAAAAGATGTGATGCTTGCTCTCCCAGCAGAGGCAGGCCCAAGGTGCCAGTACAACAGAACCAGGGTCTGCCCAGCCCACTCACCTTCAGCTTGGGCACCTCCAGAACCCGCACGTCATCGGTGACGGTCCCCACCACTACAGCTGTCTTGTTCTCCCGGCCAGGAAGCTTCATCTTGCGGATCTTGGGGAGTGGTACACATGGTAAGTGGTTTGGTGTTACAGTCCCATGCCCCTGCTTCAGGATGCCAGGACCAGGACACTGCGCCCTGTAAACCCCTCACCGTGTGCCTACTACCTCCCCACCTCACAGTGACATGGAAATGACCCCAGACACACAACTTCAGCCAAGGCTCACAGCACACAGGCTGTGACCTGCTAGGGCCTTCACAACTCACCATCCGGGAGAGGGAGAGAGGCGGCCGGTTGGTCCGACTCATGAACAACCTCTTCAGCACAACCTGGTTGAAGGTGGAGTTGGTTCGTCTGGCCAGGAACCTGTACAACTGGAAGGGACAAGAATGACTGTGGACCGCTGCTCGGCTCCCAACTTCTCAGGGAAGGACAGGTCCAGGTCCTTCTGTCCACCCCCAGTGGGCTGACACGCTACAGCTCTGGATCAGAACCAGCACAGGCAGCTGCCTGGCAGGGCCTTGGTGCCAACAGCAGAATGGAGACTCCGACAACCCTGCCCAGAGACCTCAGGCCCAACCTCACCTTCACCAACAGCCTCAGGTAGATGTCCTGGCTCTTGGGCTCCTTGCGCCTAACCTTTCGGTCCTTGTTGTGGCGGATGTCGACTCCCTGTGGTGATGAAGGAGCAACCTTTCAATTCTGAAAGCGGCCAACTATCCCCGCCTTAACACCCAATTACTATTTTTTTTTTGAGGGGTAACTTGGTTTTGAACTCAGGGCCTCATGCTTGCAGGCGCTCTGCTACTTGAGCCACTCTACCAGCCCTGTTTTGTGTTGGGTTTTTTTGAGATGGGTCTCATGAGACATTTACCCAGGCTGGCTTCAAACAACAGTCCTCCTCATCTCTGTGAGAGTAGCTAGGATTACAGGTGTGAGCCACCAGTGTCTGGCTAACAGACAACCTCAGTTCTCATTTATCCCTGCAACTGAGCAGAGACCCAGGCATGGGAGACAGCTCAAATCCCAGGTCCACTCACTAACACAAAAGCCCTCAGCACCTAAAAAACATTTCAACACAATAACCACAGTAACTTTAAAACTAAAGTTCTTTACACATTCTATCTTCCCACGAATGCTAGGACTGGGGGGGGGACGCCATGGCTCTTGCCTACCCAGGCCCGGAGTTCAATCCTCAGAACAGAAAAAGTATTAAGTTCTCAAAACTGGCCCTCAATAAAAATAAATGTAAAGACATAAACAACTAGCCCCCATATCTGGATGGCCAAAAACAAGCAAACCACTAGAAACCTCTGACAATGACAAGGAACCTTTATTTAGGACACAAAGACACTACCTCAAGCATCTGCTTCAATGTAGTCCTACTAATTATTAGCACAAATAACTACCAAGGTATCGAAACTCCCATTTAGCACTTTCTGCATGGAAGACGCTGTGATGAGCACCTTCAATAAATTTATTTTTTCCCAACTCACAAAGCTGTGAGAGGGGGTTACCCTGTACCCAAAGATAAAAGACACCGGGTCACAGGCCTGGAGAGCACATCGCAGGGTGAGCAGGGAGTTCACACTCCTTTTGGGCAACAAATCCGAGTATGTGACTCTCAACTCCCCAGCACCCGAGATGCGGACGAGGGAGTGACAAGTCCCGGCACAAGCCGCAAAAGTGGTTGAAAGTAGCTACAAAGCCAGTCAACTAGGGCCGGGTCCTGGCTGTGCCATCTCTGAGCTGTGGCCCGGCTCCCATCAGCTAATGTCCCTATGCCTCAATTTGCTCATCTATTCAATGGGAACAGTAACACAAAACTATGGACAGGGCCAGAGGCTACGACTCGGCCCCGTTCCTAGACTCCGGGACCCTAGAATAGCCCCCCGCCTCAGGAGTCCCCTCTCATAGATACCGGCAGAGTCTCTGCATCCCTCCCACACGCCTGGAGTTTGAGGACCCCGAGGATGGCGGTGGATGATCACGCTAGGAGCGCCCCAAAGCACACTCACCATAATGGCGCCGCCTGCTCAGCCAGGTCCGGAAAGACAGAAGAGCGCCGGAGTGGGCGGGGAAAGCCTCCAGCGCACGGCGCGCTCGTGACGACACAACGGCGCGACGCGGCGCTCTACCACGAGCCGACCTTCTCTATAGTTGATCGGAGGATCAGGCTAAAGGGCGACAACGGTTAGGCGGAGGAACAACCAAAGAGAAACAAGCGTCACGTCAAGGAGGGAAGGGCCAGCACGTCGGGGGTTCTCTGGCCCTGCCCAGTCCTTGCTCTCGATAGGGAAAAAGATCTGGGAGCGAGAGACATGCGTGGAGCTAAAAAGTGGCGTCGCGCGATGACGCTCTGGCCCGACGCCGACGGCCTCTCGGTGGCTCCCGGAGGACCCGGCGGACCGGGTACTGGAGGTGAGGAGGCGGGGCCGGCGAGGCCTGGAGAACCTTCTCTCACCCCAGGCTTCCGGGATCTCCTTGGGTTCCCGGCTGCTTTTTCTCCTCCTGATCTAGGAGGAGCCGAAGCTCAGGAAGTCCTACTAGATACCTAACCCGAGATCTTCTTGCTGCAACTCAATCTATATTACTCTATATTTTCCACCTTTTTGTTGCAGCTTCCCCACCTCTGTCCCCAGACGGCCTTTCTCTGACCTCAGTCTCCCCCCTGTCAGGGAGGGGCTGTTTTTCTCAACCAGACAGGTTCAGCTGGCCCAGCAGTTTCGATGTGAGGGATATGCAAGGTACTGGTGTGTAGAGAAAACAGGCTGAGGCCCGGCGTGGGGAGTGGGGTGGGGAAGGGATGGATGACAAGCTCCTGGAAGACAGGGGAGGGCCGGGCGCGGTGGCACACGCCTGTAATCCCAGCCACTTGGGAGGCAGAGATAGGATTGAGGCTCAGGGCTGGACGCGGTGGCTCGAGCTACTTGGGAGGCAGAGATAGGATCAGTGTTGAAAGACAGCCTGGGCAAAAAACTTATCAAGACCCTATCTCAACAAACAGGCCATGCCAGTACTCCCAGCTGTGTGTGGGAGGCAGAGGTAGGAGGACTGCCTTCTGAGGCTGGCCCTATATGAAAAATACCTAAAGCAAAAACAGCTGGAGGTGTGACTCAAGTGATAAGAGTTTTTGCCTAGCAAGTGGAAGGCCCTAAGTTCAAACCCAAGTACTGCCAAAAAAGAGAGGAGCGAGAGTGAAGACAGAGGGGAGTGGGGAGGAACGGTGGTCAGAGGAGCCCTGGAGAGAGGAAGGTAAGAGCTTCAAGCGTGCATGCTGGTGGCTCAAGTGGTAGGTCTAAGTTCAAATCCCAGTACCACCAAGAGGAAGAAAAAAAAAAAAAGAGCTTCAGAGGGGAGAAAGGAGACCATGTGGGTGGGTAGGTGGGGATAGGGCGGGGCTGGAAACCAGGGAATAGTAAAAAAGGTGATGCGCAATAGGGCTTTACCAAACTGTAACCAAATTCAGATCCTGCCTTTGTTGCTTTTTTTTTTTTTTTTTTTTTTTCTTGGTGCTTCTTAATGGTGTGACCTTGGATGAAGGAGTCCTTTTGTGCTGTTCTTTCCTTTTTTGGGAAAAGGGAACAACAGGCCTCACACAGGGTGTTTTCCAGGATTATATAGGTTAGTAAAAGTGCTTAAGTCAGTGTTTTGCACACAGGTGCTTAATAGAAATTAGCTCCCACTCTGTTATTACCACTTCTTGGCTGCAACCAAATGACCTGGGGCAGTGACCAAGTTGACTGTCCCACTGAGCATGGCAGGGCCTTGTGCATTTGGCTGGGTGCTCCTCCTCACTCACTTCTCCTTCACAGAGCCCAAGGCCAGGCCTGGACAGTGAGGCCTGACTCCTTTATCCATACCACCCTCTATGGCCTCAGAACCAGCACCAATAGCCTGTTGGAGTGACAGAGCAGGGGAAAGCAGATGAGTGGATGCCTGGAATCAGAGGAGCAGCAGAACCAGGTAAGCTCAGGTCCTTATTCTGTGGACCACATCACTGAGGTCCTTCTGTCACTCATCTCCCCAGGCAGGGCTGAATACCTTTCTCCCCATTTCCTGGAGAGAGCAACCGAGGCCAAGAATTCAGGACTTTCCAGAGTCACACAATGAGTCTGTGCAGGCTGGTGGCCCCCTTCTCCTTTTCTCCCTCCTTTTTCTCTTCTTCCTTGTTTCTTTTGCTCTGTGATTTGGTCTTTTGGTCTGAATCTCAGCCCCTTTGGTCAGGGTCTCTGCCTTTTTGGAGGGTGCGGAGGCTTGGAGCTCAGTTGCTGAATCTTCCTGCCTCTCCATGTTCCTGGATTTCTCTTCCTCCTTTTCTCTCTGTCATTCCTTGGTACGTATTATCTGGTTCTGTTGCTATTGTGGGTTTAATGAAAAGTATCTTTAGCAATACTTGAACTTCTTCCTCCACTTTTTCTAGCAAGCCTTGTCCTCATCACTTTCTGTGTATGTCCTTGTGCAATTCTGTCTGGTATGAGGACTCCTGATCTGTCCTTGTTTTCTTTGTTCCACCATGGTATGCTGGGGGCATGGCTCAAGTGGTAGGGCACCTGCGTTCAAACCCAACCACTGAAAAAAACGGCAAACAAAAATTTCACATATCTGCTTCTGTGTGTCTCTGTCAACCTCTGCCATCTGTTTCTCTTGGTCTCAGTTCTCAGACCTGAGCTTTCAGCATTCTTCTTGTCCCTCACCTCCAAGCTAGAGGTCTGTCCTGTCATGTGGCCTGGCCCTGTTCTGAACAGCCGTTTATCCTGCCTCCACTTTGGCTGGCTTCCAAGACAAATGGCTTGAATTAATGAACCTCTCCTCATTCCAGAAATGTCTGTCTCCAACTGTCTGGGTCAGCTGGGGTTTTTTTGAATGCTTCTGCATTCTCAATCCCACTGTTTTTGTCTTTTTGTTTATTGTATGTCTGTTTTTCTGTGTGTCTTTCTGAGTCTAACAGAAACATAAGCCTCTCTCCCTCCCGCCCCTAGATACCTGCTTTGGATGTAGGTCTTTTTTTTTCTTTTTTTTTACCAGTTCTCTCCTCGTGTCTCTTTGAGCCTTTGGGCTCTGTCTCTGCAGCTAAATGCTCTCTGCCTCACGCGCCTTTTATCAGCTCCACTAATGGGGCGGGTCCACTTGCCCTCAACAAAGAAGGCAGCAGCGGCATTGTCTGTGGGGCCGCGACGCCGCCTCTGCTGCACGTGTGCCCACACCTAGTATGGCGGCGGGCCTCGCGGAGTGCGAAGCCCCGCCCAGCTCTCGCGCTGTCGGTGGTCGGCTCCGGCGCCGCCGTGCTCGCCAGCCGTCTGGCTCCGCCCCCTTGCGCTCTCATTGGTGCAGCTCAGGCCGGCTCAACGGCCATTGGTTGAAAGGATGCACACCCTCCCCCCCTCCCCTAGGACTGATGGGGGCGGTTGTGCGGACTTGAGGGGCCGCCTAGAGGAGGACCCGGCTTGTGAGGAGGGGTCGGGGGTCGGGGCAGGGACCCGAGTCTGAGGGATTGGTGGTGAACCAGGAGGAGCGGACCCACAGGCCCGGGACTGGGGTACTCGGGTGGGAGATGGAAATGGAAAACCAGGTCCGAGTGTGAGGGATCCAAGGATGAAATCCCAGGTCTGGGACTGGCTAGAGATGGAGAAGGGATGGAGGTCCGGGACCGAGGGGCCTGGGCCCAAGAGTTAGGCCTGTGCATTAGGAACCTGTAAATGGGGACCCGGGCCCAGATCAGGGGTCCCTGGGGGTTGGGATCCAGGCCCAGGAATGGAGGACACATGGTTCTCTGTGTTTGAGCCTGACTTGAGGTTCCCAGAGGCGACCATTTGCAGGCGCGGGGCAGACACCCTGGGCCTAACAGGAGAGCGGGTCAGAGGTAGGACCTGGGGGTGAGTCCACAGATGGTGCTTGCCCTGGGCTGGTGCGAGCCTGGGGAAAGTGAGGGACAGGACCCGAGGTGCCTGGGCGGGGCTGTGCAGAACAAAGGTGAGCAAGGAGGAGGAGGTGGGAGGCAGAAGCTGGGCAGAGGGCAGGGGAAGGGCCTCTGGGGAAGGGACGTCAGTCTTGGCTCCTGCCCTCTCTCTGAAGAGCAGGTGGCCGACACCCAGGTCAGTGCTCAGACACAAGCTCCTGGTTCCTGCCTCTTTCCGCACTCGCATGTGGCTCCTCTGACCCCTGGATCTCTGTCACATCCCTTCCGGCCTTCTTCCTCTCCTGTCTGCTCTCCCTTACTCTCTGTGGTCTTTCCCTTTGGGCTGAGAAACTCTTACCCCCAAGTGTCTTTCATCAAGCTGAGTTTCAGCTCAGTCAGTGAAGCCGTTTATCTTCCTCTGGTTTGCAAGGCTCATTGTTCTTTTGTCTGTGTCTGTGTAATGTTAACATTACTACTCTCTCCCCGGGGAGATGACTCAGTGTGCGTGACGGGTGTGGGGGGGGAGGTCTTTGTCTTCGTGTGTCAGTTTTTACGTGTCTGCACCATCCAGTCCCCCTCTGAGGCTTACTTTTCCACAAAATCCTATGATCACCCAACACTCTGCGTATTTATCTTTGATCTTGTTTTCTTGGTGGCACTGGGGTTTGAACTCAGGACCTCATGCTAGTTAGGCAGGTGCTGTACCACTTGAGCCACTCCATCAGCTTTGATCTTGTTTTCTGTCTTCTGATTATAATATAAACCTGGAGAGTGCAGAGATTTGTGTCTGTTTGATTCCCTGCTATATTTGCTGGACCTAGTACCTTGATTGGCACAGAAATCCTTAAGTAATTATTTTAGGGAGAAGTGACTGAATGTTTGCATGCCTGGATCCCCAGGCCCTTCGGCATGCTGGCCTTCCTGCCCAGCTGACCTCTGACTGCCTTGCGTCTTCTGGGCCTCTCCCTGCTCTTCTGAGCTTGTGTCTGGTCCTCCCTTCCCAGCCCTTGGTGTCTCCTATCCACAGGCTCTGCCCCTCCTTCTACCTGCTAGGTGGGTCCTGGACTCTGACCCTTGCCTTTCTCCCTCCCCACACAGGCTGGAGCAGTTGCTGACCTGAAGCTGGAGCTACCGGCCTAGGAGCACTTGCAACAGGGCTGAGGCCATGGCCCCACCACTGGCTGCCAGCACCCCACTCCTGCATGGGGAGTTTGGCTCCTACCCAGCCTGTGGCCGGCGATTGGCTCTCACCCTCACATCACAGGCCCTGCACATACAGCGGCTGCGCCCAAAGCCGGAAGCCCGGCCCCGGGGCGGCCTGGTGTCCCTGGCTGAGGTTTCTGGCTGCTGCACCCTGCAGAGCCGCAGCCCCTCGGACTCTGCAGCCTACCTGTGCATCTACACCTATCCCCAGGGCCGGCGCCGCCGTGGGGGCCGACGCCGAGCCGCCCGCATCTTCCAGGCAGATGGAGCAACCACCTATGAGGAGAACCACGCCGAGGCCCAGCGCTGGGCAACTGCCCTCATGTGTCTGCTCCGAGGAGTACCACTCCCTGGGGACGGGGGTGAGGCCACCTCGTGCCTCTTAAGACCTCCCTTCCTGTTTTTCTGTGTGTCTATCTGTGTTTTGTGTCTGGGAAAGAGACACAGACAGGGATGGGCTACCCGAGGAGCCCAGGCTGTGGAGGGGCAGAGACAACCCCCCCTCCCTTCCCCTCCCTTACCCCCGCAGCCCATCGGGTAAGCTTTTCTCAGGCCTCCGGGGTTCTGCTGGCTGCCTAGGGCCCCCAAGGACTAGTGACACAGTGAAGAAACCTGATTCTGGCTAACAGGCGTTAGGGGATCACAGCTCCTTTGTTCTCCTCCCACATTTGGGTCCAAAGGGTACTAATTTCATGCCTGAGCCCTGCCTTTGTCTCAGCACCTGGGAAATGGGGGCGGGGCTGCACCTTGGATCCTGGCCAGGTGACAGCTAGGAGAAAAACATTCCCAGCAGGCTCCTGGTGTCAGCCCGCCACGTCTGTTTGACGGTAGTTTGAAGGGACTGTTGCCAGGTGGAGGGGCCTGGGTCTCTGGCCTTTGTAGACTCTATTCTTTTCTGCAGAGATCACCCCAGAGCTTCTGCCCCGGAAACCTCGGTTGCTCCTATTGGTCAATCCCTTTGGAGGGCGGGGCCTGGCCTGGCAGTTGTGTAGGGACCACGTGTTGCCCATGATCTCTGAAGCTGGTCTATCCTTCAACCTCATTCAGACAGGTAAGGACAGCAAGGACATGCGCTGGGGCCTAGAACCCTGGGTCCTGGGAGGAGACAGCTTGGGTAAGCCTGTGGTTTGCCCGTTAGAACGACAGAACCACGCCCGGGAGCTGGTCCAGGGGCTGAACCTGAGCGAGTGGGACAGCATCGTCACAGTCTCTGGAGATGGGCTGCTCTATGAGGTAGCTCGGGAATACCCTGCCCCTAACCCTGAGCCGGGGGACTGAAGCTGCAGGGGCCAGGTTCCAGGGAGCTGGTCTCCTCCCCTCCAGGTGCTGAATGGGCTCCTAGATCGCCCTGACTGGGAGGAGGCTGTGAAAATGCCATTAGGGATCCTCCCCTGTGGCTCAGGCAACGCGCTGGCTGGAGCAGTAAACCAGTTCGGGGGGTAGGTCGGGTCCTCCTGCTGGGGAGGCTGAGGGTACATGGTGGGGGAGGGGGAGTGAGCCTTCATGGGACAACGGGGACCCCACTCCTTCCTGGCTGGCTGTGGGGTGGCCAGACCCTCGGCTCCCATCCCAGACATTAGGCCTGCCTCATTCCCAGTGGTATTCTTAGTAGCTAGAACTGTGCCTGGCACGCAGTAGACCCCCCAGTGGGTGCTTATCCAGTATCTGGGTCTCAGCGCCCCATCTGCTCCATTGCTCACTCAACTCTGTCTGCTCTTTCCTGGCCGTGGCTGTCCTGTCTCTGGCTGTGAAGATTTGAGCCGGCCCTAGGCCTCGACCTGCTGCTCAATTGCTCACTGCTGCTGTGCCGGGGTGGCAGCCACCCACTGGACCTGCTCTCTGTGACACTGGCCTCAGGATCCCGTTGTTTCTCCTTCCTGTCTGTGGCCTGGGGCTTCGTGTCGGACGTGGACATCCAGAGTGAGCGTTTCAGGGCCCTGGGCAGTGCCCGCTTCACACTGGGCACGGTGCTGGGCCTCGCCACCTTACACACTTACCGCGGACGCCTCTCCTACCTCCCTGCCGCCGTGGAGTCAGCCTTGCCCGCCTCTGCCCACGGCCTGCCCCGGGCCAAATCAGAGCTGACCCTGGCCCCGGCCCCAGTGCCACCTGTGGCCCACTCGCCCTTGCATCGCTCAGTGTCCGACCTGCCCCTGCCCTTGCCTCAGCCCCACCCTGCCTTGACCTCCCCTGGCTCACCCGAGCCCCTGCCCATGCTGTCTCTCAATGGCGGGGGCCCAGAGCTCGCGGAGGACTGGGGTGGTGCTGGGGATGCCCCACTGTCCCCAGACCCACTCCTGCCCTCGCCCCCCAGCTCTCCCAAGGCAGCTCCACTGTCTCCCATCACAGAAGTGCCCCCAGAAATGCCAGCGTCCTCCAAGCCCCCGCCTCCCACCCCTGGGGGTGCAGAAGGAAGTACTAGGGGCCCACCCGACCACCTGCTGCCTCCGTTGGGCACCCCACTGCCCTCAGACTGGGTGACGATGGAGGAGGACTTCGTGCTCATGTTGGCCATTTCTCCCAGCCACCTGAGCGCCGACATGGTGGCGGCTCCGCACGCGCGCTTTGACGACGGCCTGGTGCACCTGTGCTGGGTGCGGAGCGGCATTTCCCGGGCCGCGCTGCTGCGCATTTTCCTGGCCATGGAGCGGGGGAACCACTTCAGTCTGGGCTGTCCGCACCTGGGATATGCCGCGGTCCGTGCCTTCCGCCTCGAGCCCCTCACGCCTCGCGGCATGCTCACGGTGGACGGCGAGCAGGTGGAGTATGGGCCGCTCCAGGCGCAGATGCATCCCGGCCTCGGTACCTTGCTCACCGGGCCGCCAGGCCGCGCTGGGCCAGAACCCCGAGCTGGACCCGGCTCTTAACCCGCCAGGAGTGGGACCGGCGCTAGGGGGTGTGGCCTAGCTGCTAGAGATGGGGCCCAGCCCCGTCTCAGGATTGTGCCCGCCTCCAGGGCACCAGAACTGCTGTTGCCGGCGGCCTGATTTGCAGGCTGTCCCGGGTAGTGCCTGACCAATAAGGGCGGGTCCTGGTGGGGCGGGGCTCAGCCCCGATCCTCCAGTCCAGCACATCGAGGGAGGAGCCTACCTTACGAGTCGCCCAATGACGGGACCTGGAATGTACGAGCTAGGGCAGGCCTTACTTAATTGGTCAGTCAGGACCCGGGTCTCGCCCTATCCACTCCGGTGCCTCCACTTAACCGGCCAATCAGCCTAAAAGGGGCAGGTTCCCCGAGACGGCCGCTAGGATTTGCACTAACGTTCCTCCCTCCGCGGGTGGGGGAAACTCATTTCTTTTGTTCTGTGTTGTGAGCTTCCCATGTCCCCAATCTAAAAAGCAATCGAAAAGGTCTATGCAATAAAGGCAGTCGCTTCATTCCCCTACACCTGCGCCCCTTTCTCCTGCAACATTACGCTACTCGACCCTTCCCAGCTTGCCTTTTATGGACCGCAGCCCAGATCGGCCCACCGGTTGCAACCTGTGTCACCCACTGGCCCTGAACCGGGGTTAGGTAGCTGCCTTGTCCCCCACAACAGGTTCTGGGGTTCTCAAGATTTATTCAGGATCGTGTTAACGGAGGCGGTTGGGAGGATGGGGTCCCCGACGTGCCAGGAGCACACACAGGATCCTCCCCACCCCCTCGAGGGAGGGGGGAGGCTCGCTTTTTCTTAAAAATATAAATGTATTTATCTGCATCATCACGTTTCTGGGGCATCCAGCTGGCCAGACCCTGGGCCACAGGGCGGGGAGGGAAGAGGGTGCAAGTCTGAGCAAGGAGGAGGAGGGCCCCGCCCCGGAGCGGTAGGGCGGCCTCACAGGGCCCCGTGCTGGGCCTGGTAGCGGGACAGCACCGCGCGGTAGTGGGACAGCTCCTGGCGCACAGCCACCACCTCCTGTCGCAGCAGGGCGTTCTCCTTCTCCAGGAAGGCCGCCCGCACCGAAATCTGATTCTCCTTGAGCCGCCGGGCGTCGCGGGACCGCTTGGCTGCCTCATTATTCTTGTACCGCCGGCTCCAATACTTCTCGTCCTGCAGGTGGAGGGGTGAGAGGTTCGCTGAGGTCCATCGAGGAGGCGCAACTTTGATCTTTGCTTGGATTGGTACCCGGGAGTCTGCCCTTCTGGGGCCCTGGATGCTAAGTAGAATAGGCCCCTAGCAACTGCTGAAGCGTGAGGCAGACCCCAGGCACACACCAGCCCTCCTCACTTGGCAAAGGGCCTGAAGTTAGCTCCTGGTTGTTAGGGATGCTTGTTCCCTAGCAACAAGACCTTCAGGGACCTAGAGCTTATCCCAGTGAAGAGCACTGCCCTATACATCACCTTGCCAGATCCTGGTTGCTAAGGAAAGCTAGGTAGACCCCCTAGTGATACAGTTGGTGTCTCATAAAATCCTTCCAGCGCTGGGGCTCTTTTGACCTAGTTGCCAAGGCAACCTCATCTCTGCTCAGCAAACAGAAATGAGATGTAAGTGGTCCCAATGATCACAGCCAGTTTCTGATCTGCTGCCCTTGAACTAAAACCAGGGAGCAGCCTCCTCCCCAACAAGACGTTCCCTGGAGACCTCCCCTTGGGTCCTCCAATCCTGGAATGTGGTTGCTAAGGAGTGACCCTCCTTAGCAACAAGAACTACCCAGCTGGAAAAGATGCTTCTTTTGGCTGTTATTTAATTAAAACTAATCCCTGCTTGCTAAGACACATCCCTAGCTATAGGTTTGGCAAGAAAAACTGCTCGTCTAGAACAGGGCGTCTGGGCCAGTCCCAGATCAGATCCAAGTGGTTGTGTCCCAAACGAGGCCAAGTCAAAGACTTGACACTTTTTGCCAGTGAAGACCCCAGTAATACAAAACCAAAACCAAACTTCTAGAAGGATGCAGTCACTGTCCAAAGCACTGCAAATCAGAACATGGCCCTGGCTACTACTGGGAGCCTCAGGCCTCTCACACCAGTAAATCAAGGCCAGGGAACCAGATCTGCAAAGACTGGCTGCTGGACACCGTTGACTCACGCCTGTAATCTAGCTACTCAGGAGGCAGAGATCAGAAGGATAGTGGTTTGATGGCAGCCCAGGCAAACAGTTCCACGAGACCCTATCTTGAAAAACCCCACCACAAAAAAAGGGATGGTGGAGTGGTTCAGGTGTGGGACCTGAATTCAAACCCCAGTAACCCCCCCACACACACTCACAAAAGGCTGGCAAAGTCTGCATTATAGGTAGAGGTAATCCCTCTAAAGGGCACACCAAATTGGAGGTCAAAGGCCCTGTTCTAGTCTGGCTGCTTGCTAAGGAGGAAACAGGCTGATATGCTGAGGAGGCAGCTGGGCCTTCTGGAATTTGAACCCTGTCCCACCGTGGGATCTGGGTTCAAAGTGACTGAAGAAGCTCCAAGCCTGCACAAGCAGATGTACCACAGCCCACTGTGTCTGTGTCCACAAATACACTGTCTTCAAAAATATCAGGCAAAACCCTGCCCTCTTGGGCCCAAAGTCCAAGCATGCATCTTTGGCTGTAGGACAAAGAAGCGAGAGCACTCACCTAAGCAACAACTCTCAGGCCGGCTGTGAGGGAAGGCCCATCCCTGGCTCGGGGTTTCCCCAGCCAAGCCTGAGACCCACACTGGTCGCTCACCTTCTGATCCTCTGGCACCTGGATTTTCCTCGCCTTCTTCATGATTGGCTGAGGTTTAAGTTCCTCCTCTGAGAATCGATGTCTGCGAGGGTCAAAGGTCTCATGGCCTGGAATGCTTGACAGAGCAAGATCGGCTGGGTCAGGTTCAAAGGTCATCAGCACCTCCACCGTGTCTGGGTCCACAGGACTGGGTGTGTCCCGAGAGGTCAGGCCTTGGGAAACAGAATATCACTCGAATGTATTTATCTGAGGGAATGAGTTCCCAAAGGTCCATCCCCCCACCTTGCCGCAGGTATCTTATACAAAACATAGAAGACCTTTATGGGGTCTAATCCATAAGGCATAATCTTTGTAATACAAAATATAAAAGCTTCCTAACCGCAAAGTGTTTAGACATCATGGACCCAACTTCATTTTTACAAACAGGGAAACTGAGGCCTGTCATAATCGATTGGCTCTAACTAACACATGAGTCTGGTAATGGCTTCTGAAATTTCAAGATTTTAGATTCGCAGATTCAGTTTCCTTCCCATAATCTAGCCTGAATCCCTCTTCCCTGGGCAAAGCTTAAACCCCGGGCTGTTCAGAGAAAAGGGACTTCAAGCAAGACTCTAAGAGCCATTCGCTCTGAGGGGTTCCGAAGAAGCAAGAAAGACTCCCAGGTTCCAGGAGGCTGCTTCAACAGGAGGCGCCTGTGCCTTTAAGCGAAAGCAAACCGGGGCCAGCTGAGGACACAGGTTCAGGGCCGAGTCACGTGCCGCCGCCAGCTTCCCTCCTCCCCCCCTCCCCCGCCCCCGGCGCCCTCACGTTCCGGGCCCCGCCCCCTCGCGCGTGACAGCGCGTGCGCGAAGCGCGGAGGAGGGAGGGAGGACTCACGTGGCGCGGGAATGTGCGGCTGGGAAACCCAGCACCCTGGGTTTGCCTGGAGGTCGGACCAGGGGCAGGTGTACCCAGACCTGTAGTCCGTCTCTGGTGACCCCAGTGTGCCCTGAAGGGGTTCACCTTTCCTCTTGCTGGTTCCGATCTCAGCTCCAACCTCTCACTCCAAGGATACCGATCCCCCTTTGATATCTGGGTAGCATCTGAGAACATGCCCGGTTCCCGGGGTCCTTACCACTGGGGTACCCACAATCTTGAGGCCCCAGGAATATAGAGAGCTCCATTGGAGGCCCTAAATCAAGCTCCCCGACCATGTCACCTCTGCAGGACTCTGCGACACGGGCTGCAGCACCTTCCTGGAGGTGAAACCAGGAAGCTAGACTGTCTCACATCCCGGGAAAGAAATCTGTGCCCAGCCGGGACCAGCTCCCATTTTAGAGATCCTAGGAATTCCGACCTAACCCTTTGACACCGATTCTGGGGTCAGTCCACACCACAGTAAGAAACTTCGGTTTCCTGGAGTATCCGGACCTTTTTTTCCCACGGAAAAACACTATTGAGCAGGTTTCCTGGAATTTGGGGTCCCACGTCCCTCCTTCCCTTATGGATTCAGAGGAATCAGGGCCTGACCTATTATGGGGACAAAGAATTTGGGCCCTTCAGGACGATAAGACCCAAAATTCCGGACCCAGCAGCCTGGGTCCCACGGCCCCAGTGTCGTCTCGTGCCGCCCCGCCCCCTAGGGCCTAAGCCCCGCCCCCTCGCCGCACCTGCGCGGTGGACGCCGGAGGCCCCTAGGGCAGCCCGGGCGGGGGCGTGCCCTGGCGAGGAGCGGGGGGAAGCAGAGCCACACGAGCCTGGCCCCGGGGAGGGTGCGGGAGTGCGCGCGGGCGAGGGTGCCGGCGACGGGCCACCAGCGGGGGGCGGCGGGCTGGGCGGCAGCCCGTGCTCCAGCAGGAAGGCGTCCAGGTCCACGTACTCCACGTCACCGAAAGGCAGCGTGCGCTCCCACAGCAGCGGTGCCAACAGACTCGGGCCAGGCACTGCCCCCGGGCGCCCCCGCGGGGACCCGCCGCCCCCCACCACCCCCACTGGGGCATCGGCTGGGACCGCCGTCTCCAGGCCTGGCCCCGGGACGGTGGCTGCGGGCAGAACCGCCTTGCGTTCCTTTTCCTTCAGGAGACCTGTGGGCCAGGGAAAGACGGGACGGAAGGGAGATGGGTGAGGAGATAGCGAAGGGACCCCCCAAGTCGGAGAGAAGATGGTATAGACAGCCACACAGCAGAGATCCAGAGAGAGCGGGGACAAGTTGGAGGAGAGAGGGCAAGGACCCAGAGACACAGGGATGGTGGGGGGAGGGGAGACAGAGAGGGACACAGGACCCAGAAAGAGGAGAGGACACAGATACACAGAGAGATGGGGACAGAGGTCGGGGAAGGGACAGACACAGCGATCCAGAGAAAGAGGACGAAAGTTTAGAAAGAGGGGGGCAGGGTTGGGCAGGTGAGAGAGAAAAAATGACAGCTCTGTAACTCCTCTGTAATTCCCCCAACCCCTGCACACCGTACCCCCCTTCACTCCCCCCACGACCAGGAAGGGGCTCGAGTCCTCCGGCACATTCCTCATTCCGAGATTCCATGTGATCCCGTGAGGCCCCGCCCAAGCCCGTGTCACCACCGTGTGAGCATCCGACACACCCCCTCCCTTCTCTCTGGACCCTAGGGGTCCAGACTCCCAGGCCAAAGGAAAGAGTCGGCTGGGTTCTAGATTCTTGTGTCCTCGGAGAGGAGGTTGAGGGACTTAAGACTCCTGGGTCCTCCTGTGGACAGATTGAGAGTCAGCACTTTTGGGTCCCCACGCTGAGCGATCTAGGGCCCTTACACACCTGAGTAATTGACTAGACGAAGACTGAGAAAGATGGACGCCCAGAACATAGGCTGTGCCCCCCTCCACCCTGGATCCCAGCACTTGAGTCCCTTCGGGAGTGGGGCTAGAACTCACAGCTGGCCGGCTCTTTGGGCTTGCTGGTCCCCTGCAGAAGGCTCCGAAGCCCAATCAGCGCTCCCCCGCCAGGGGGGGCACCAGCCGGGCCGCCCAACAGCAGGGGGGCCGGGGTCCGGTCGCTCAGAGGCCGCGCCATCGCCTGGCACCTGCCCCCAGGTTCATGGGCTCATGGAGAGGCGAAGTCACCAGCACACCACTGTGGTTCGGGCGAGTGTCTGCCCAGGGACGGGCGAGCGTGTCAGCCTCCAGTATCCAAAAAGCTGCAAGTCCTAGGAGCGATGGGGATTTGCAGTCCTCGGTGTCTCAGAAACGTGCGACTCAAGAGGATCCCGAGAGATCATACATTTGGATGAACAAGTCAGGCGGCTGGCTCTTTGCAACTGAGGGTACCAGGGGATACAGGCGCTCTGTCTTGCAAGGTGGGCGAGCCTGGCTTGGGCAAAATTTGCAGCTCTCGCAACGGAAGGCGCTTTGCAATCGGCACCGAGAGGTGTGCACCGAGGGGCGGGGGAGGGGGCAGGAGAAGGCGGCTGCCTTGAGGCGTGGCCAAAGCAAACTTCTTTCGCGGAAAAAAAATATCCAAACCAAAACACCCGACGCCACAGCGCGTGCCCCTCCTCCGGGTCCCCGCCGACCCTGCCCCGCCTGCCTCTTTGGCCATGCACCCCAGCCGCGTGCCTCCCTCTGGCTGCAAGCACGGGCCAATCGTGTCTCGACCCCTTGAGACGTCCAGCCAATGGGGCCTCTGAATCTGCCAAGACCCGGGAGGGCGCGTGAGGGACTGAGCGCGTGAAGTTGCCTTGCCTTTTGAAGGAGGCGGGACACTGACCTACATTTGCCCAATGGGAGGCGGCGCAAGAGGCGGAACCGTGACCCAGTTGGGGCCAATAAGGCAGGCGGAAGGGGGAAGCACATGGCTCTACGCGTGCTGCCTGGTAGGGATGGGGGGAGGAGAGGTGCCTCTTAAAGGACCCATTAGTCCAAAAGCCTGTTTTGGGAAGCTTGAAGGCAAAAGACCAAGTAGCGAATGCTTAAGAAAAGGGAGATTGGCCTAGGGAAGAAGGCTGTTGTTCTTTATTACCCAACTATTTCTCCACCGCGCCTTAGAATCAAACCACCGAGAAACAGGAAGTATTCTGTCCCTTTAATAGCTTTGTTTTTTGGGGTGACTCCCCTCCCCTTATAAGGAAGGATGGGACGAGCGGGCTCAATCCTCGATGGGGAGTCTCAGCGACCATGGGGGGCACCATCCACTGCAAGAGAGGATATCAGTTCGGGCCACAGTTTAGAATGGGCAGTGTTGGAGGTGTTCAGTGGCTGTGGGTTGGGCAGCGTAGGACTCTACCACAGGGAGGCCCCGAGGGGGAACCGGCATGTACCAGGTTAAGAAGCTAGGGGGAGTCAGATCCTGGACAAAAATCATAAGGAGACAGCAGGAAGGTGGAACAGGGACGTCCAGATCGGCAGTAGGCTGAACTACGTGAAGATACACATGGGGGCGTGGGTGATCTGGACTGTACCAAGTTGAGAAACCAGAAAAGTGGCCACTTGCTCACTGGGCTAAACCATAGGGAAGCAGTAGGGTGAGAAAGGGGTCGTACCAAGTTAATGCTCAGCAAAGGGGGAGCTGTCCGACTGTGGCACCGCATCGGGTCTTACTACATGGAAACAAGGTTGATTCGGACCGTACCACTTTGGAAAGTGACAGTAGTGGGAGGCACGGACCAGTGTATAATTGTCCCACAAGGAAGCTAGGGAGTTTGGGTTATAAACCAAGTTGCATAGTAAAGAAGAGAGACAAATCAGAGGTCTATGGGAGGAAGGAGGACTGTACCACGTTGACCCATAAGGGGAAGGGAGAAAGAATAGTGAGCTCAGGCTAGACCATCCAGAAACAGCCAAGCAGCCAAGAGGGTCGGGGTGTATCGCACTGACATGGGAAGAAACACAAGCGGTTGAACCAAGACGTGGGGTGGGTGGAGACTGGACCATACCATGCAGGCGGTAGTTGGGGCCTCGGCAGCGCCTCTCGGGGTGCCGGGGGTCCCTGTTGCCCCTTAAGGCCCTGTGGGCCAAGGGCTGCAGGGGCCGGCCGTTCCCGCTGAGGCTCTGGAAGATCTGGGATGGAGGATTCTGGCTGAGGAGTCTCAGGGAGTGCATCTGCCATAAGAGGAGGAGGGTGGGAAAGTGGGAGTGAATGGAGCGGGCGGGCGGGGTTTGTGAAGTTCCACCCACCCCCAGGGATTGGCTGAGCCTCTCACTTGGTTCAATTCCCCCTCCAATGAGAAGAGAGAAAGGAGGGCCTGGGAGACCCTGGCCAGAGAACCCAGTACCCACGTGTAGGAGGTGGAGGATACAGACAGAGGGTCACCTGGAGGGAGGTGATATTGAGGGCTCGGTCTATGAGGATCCAGGTGACAGTCTCCGAGCAGGGCGGGGTGCTGAGAGAGCCCTGGTAGGTGATGAAACCAAAGGATTCGGGGAACAGGAGCTCCAGGCTCAGATCTTGTAGAAAGTAAGCATCGTCTGCAGGAACATCAGGCCAGAGTGAAGAGGGGTCCCCTCTTGAACCCCAGTATGTGCGCCCCCCACACCAGGGACTCACTCTTGTAGGAGATACGGGTGATGGTGTCTCTGTTAAGGAGACGGCTTAGGAATGGGTTTGAGCTGCTGGCCACCTGTGTCGGGGTACAAGGTAAGGAGGCTGAAGCCCCCAAATCCCACCTCCCCCAGGACCTAGGAGTCTGAGCCTCCCGGCCTTCCCCTTCCCTCAGACCCTGGATCCCAGGTACCCATCTTGATTCCGCTCACATTGACAAAGAGGCTGAGAATGGCCAGGCCATTGGGACCCCGGGTGGCTGCGCTGAGATTCCCGTAGAGTTCTTGATTGAAGTGAATAAGCTGCACCTGGTGAGGGGAGGGGGGACAGAGAGTGGCGAGTCCCCCAGCAGAAGGGGAGGAGAGAATGACTCCAGCTCTGGAGACTTTGGGGTCCTGAGTTTGGTTGGAGATTGGTGCTTAGGAAGGCAGGAGGGCGGTTCTGGGGAAAGGATGAGGGTGATTTGAGAGAAACCGGACTGGCGCAGGGTGGAGGGTCACAAGTAAGAGGTCTCCACCTCAGCAGAGAAGCCCTGATGATTGATGTGGTGTTCGGAGCCAGCTCCATCGCGAGCTCCAAACAGCAGCCGTAATTCGCTGAGACGGTGGCTATAAAGGAGGGGACCTCCAGACACGTTGACCACAGGCCGGGGCGCAGGCAGGAAGGAGACGTGGCGGCCAGTGTTGTACAGGGTCCCCCGGAGCTGTGGGAAAGGCATAAGTTGTCATTTCCCACTCTTCCATTCTCTGAGTTCGATAAGTATTCAGTCATTCAACAGTTTGAGCACCATGCTCTGTGAAGATCCAGAGAACCTGCTCAATATTGGCAAATTTATTTAATTAACAGGTATTTATTCAGCTGCTACTATGTAGCATGGAAACAAAGAAAAGTGCAATGAACAAGTAGACAGGAGAGACTGACAATAGCCATCTAAGTAACTGCTTAATTAATTACACCCTGCGCTCATGCTGGGAGGAGCTGGGAACCCTGAGAAAGTTTAATGAGAAATCCAACTTGGATTGGGGGAGCAGTCAGGGAAGGCTTCCCTGAGGAGGTAGCATTTCAATGAAGACCTGAAGGACAAGCACAGGTTAGCTGCAAAAGAGAAGAGAGAGAGAGAGCATTCCAAGTGGAGGGTACAGCAAATGCAAAGGCCCTGGGGTGACCTGTTTTAATGACAGCAAAGAGACCAATGGGACTGAATGGAATCTCGTCAACAGAGGAGAGCGGTAATGGGATACCAATAGTACATTAGGCAAAGATAGGGGGTTTTGGATTTTGATTTAAATAAACTAACTATGTAACTCACATTTGGCATGGTGCCAAACATCTGGTACTTGCTATGTAAGTAAGTTGCTGTGATTTCTCCTAACTGTAGGGTTTTGACCAGAGCACTGGTGTGACAGCCTGGCATTTTAAACATCTTTATCTCTGAGGTGGAGAATGGATTACAGGAAGCCAAGGCCTAGGCCAGTGAGGAGGCTGTGGCCCCAGTCCAAGTGGGAGACAGTGTGGCCTGGATCAGATCAGGCAAGGAAAAGGGCTCTTCCCATCAGCACAGCTAGGAAGAACAGGGGTTGAGAATGGGAGGAAGGGAGGGGGCGTCATGGAGAATGGCTCTAGGCTTTGGGCTGCTGCAGCCCAGCCAAAGGTGGTGCTGGCTCTTCTAAGAAATGAGATTGCAAAAGAAAAAAGAACAAAAAGAAAAAAGATCGCAAAGCGGGTCCCAACACAGAGGCTGGAACCACACTGCTTGGTTTGAATTCCCAGCACTGGCACTCTGGCTGTGTGACCCGGGACAAGTAACTTAACCTCTCTGGACCTCAATTTCTGTATGGATAATAATAGCACCTATTCCTGGCATGAAAAAACCTTCTGTTTTTCATTGCTTCTTCAGACATGGGAAGATTAGGCAGCCATATTGGGAAGGCAAAAACAAATGATCCACCTTAGAGTATGAGGAACCTTCTCTCCATCCAGAAGGCACTCCAGCACCCCTTCCCTGACCTCCACCCATACCTACCCACAGATGGCGCTCCATCCTTACCTTCTCTCCCCCCGTGCTGAGCCTTAGCGGGGGCAGAAACGGGTCATACAGGACCCTCTTCAGCTCCAAGTCCACGGGGCTCTGCCGCTTCCCCACGGCACACAGACTCCAGGCAGCGTTCACTAGGCCCCAGAAGGGAGGTCCTGGGAGTGGGGCAAGAGGAACAGGAGACAGAAGTAGGGGCTGGGGCCCGATGTTAAAATCTACAGATGGGCTGGGATCTTAATTCCATACCCCGTGAGGTGGCTGGGGTCTGGAATCCTAGGTCTGAGGGAGGAGGCTGGGGTCTGGAATCCTAGGTCTGAGGGAGGAGGCTGGGGTCTGGACCTAGGTCTCTCGGAGGGACCTGCACCCAGAATCTTCTGTCCTAGAAAAATCTTGGAGTAGTTTTCTAAGACCCCCCCCAATGCCTCCAAGGCTCTCCTTCATCGACCCAGCTTATAGTGCGGAAGGAACTACAACTCCCATCAGACCTCAGGGCTGCAACTACTCATCCACTGTCTGCCTGCCCCGGCACCCCCGGGAATTGTAGTTCCTTTCGGCTCCCTTGTCCCACAGTTGGATAATGAACGTATTGAGGAGAAGAGTTGCTGGAGAGGGCTGGAGGAGATGGGAGACAGGACCACCCAGCCTCTGAATTCCAGCAGGAGCCAGGACCTGCCTCTCCCTGCGAACACACGCATTCTCTCCACCCCCACATTTTCTTTTCCTTCCACTCACTCCCACTCACTACTTGAAATGCGCATGTATAATGTCCCATGGTGAGCCGCTGGGGTTCAGAGGCTGGGCCCCACTCCTGAGGGAGGAAGGAGGGGGCTGGGACTCCTGGTCCTGGAGGGGAGGAGGGGGCTGGGGACCCAGAGTCCTGAGTGTGAAGAGAGAGGCGCCTGGGGGCAGGGGGCGAACTCCTGGGTCTCCGCCCTGGCTGCACCTGGCACGAAGTTTCCCTGGAGATTATCCTTGTAGGTCCACCAGTCCTCGGGGTCAGGTGCAGGTCCGATGTGAGCTGGGAAGAGAGGAGCCTGAATCCCGCTCCTTGGTACCCCACCCCAACCCCTCCCTCGGGGGCTCCTACCAGGACCCCCAGGTCTTACCTGCCGCCCCCAGTGCAGCCCAGAGTACCAGCGCTCGAGGGGCGCTCAGTCGAGCTGCACCCCCCATCCCCCGGAGCCTCGAGGCGACCCCTTCCTGATGCCCTGTCCCCTCAGCTCCTCCCGCCCCTCTGGCTGGTACCCGGTCCCTCCAGGACTTCCAGTCTACCTCTCCTCCGCACGGGGAGTCCCAGCTCCCCAAATGCCAGGGGCTGAGACACCCCCCCCACACCCCAATCCCCTCTGCTCCCTTCTCTCTGCGCCCTTCCTCCTTCCTCTCCTGCGGCCCCGACCCTCCACTCTCGCTCTACCTCCGGATCCTGCTTTCTCTGCCTCTGCTGGCCCCGGGGTTCCCTTCTGGTTTCCAATCCACACCCCCTCTCCGTGGCTGGCTTCTCATCAGCTGTCCCCAGCCACTAACTCCGCATCTCCATCCCGCTCCTCCACCACCTCCTCCTCCCTCGCCCGGCTCCTCTTGGCCTCTCCCTTCTTCCCTCCGTCTTCACCTCCTCCCGCTCCCTACTCGCTCGGTCTCCAGCCTCGCTCCCTCCCCGCCTCCTCCTCTCCTGCCTCTGCTCCCTGGTCCTCCGTCTCTTCCTTCAGCCCTGCCTCCCTCCTCCCTCTCCCTCCCAGCTCTCTCTCCGTGTGATTTAATTTTTTATTTTGTTTGGGGAGCGATTTCACAGCTGTGGACACTTCCCTGGGTGGGGGGTGGGGGTCAGGGGCATCATGGGGTCCCGGATCCCCGCTGCGGGGTGGCCGGGACACCTGGGGCCGAGCTGGCCACTCCGTCTTCCGCAGGGAGGGGGCGCTTAAGGTGGAGCCCGGATAATCCCTGGTCTCCGCTTTGCGCCCCGGGCCGCGGAGGAGCAGGGGATCCCTGGCCGCGGGACCCCGGCTGCGGACGCCCCCGGAGACTGAGCCTCAGCCCCGGCTCCGCGCCGTCCCGCTCCAGGGGCGGCCTTAACAGCCGGGATCCCCGGGGAGGCTGGGATGCGGTGAGGGCCGCTGGCCGGGAGGGGGAGGCAGAGATCTGGCGAGGGAGAGGCTGGGAGGGGCAGCGGGCAGGGCACTGGCGACAGCTGGAGGTGATCAGCGATCAGGGCCAGGGACGAGGCCAGGGAAGGAAGGGAGCCTGGCAGAGAGGGACACACGTGATGCTTAGAGATGGAGAAAATGCCAGGCAGGAGGGAGGGAGGGACAGACAGAGTCGCACACACAGACACACAGAGAAGGAGAAAGAGACAAAATGTGAGGTAGATCAAAAGAGAGATGCAGGCACCAAGGTACCCACCCACTGAGAGACAGAAGCACAGACACCTACTCGTGTGTTAGAGAAGCCAGGAAGGGAAGGAAGGACAGGACAGAAAGAGAGAGAGAGAGATGGAGGCAGACATAGAAAGAGAGAGATGGACACTCAGGGATCCAAGCAGAGAGGTCCAGAGAGAGACTCACCAGGCAGGAGCAGGGAGAGGAGATATATAGAGAGACACAGAGACAGCAGATTTTAGAGAGAGACGGAGAGAGCCAGAAAGAAACACACATGGAGCAATCCAGGCAGAGAGAGTAAAGAGAGAGAAATATACACATAATAGAGATAGAGACCTGGAATCTATAAACAGATACATCTATAAATAGAGCCGTTCATGCAGAGATGACAACATGGACAGAGAGGAACACAAATGGGGACAGTGACAGAGACCCAGATAGAGGAGAGAGGCCCAGAAATAGACCAATTGACTTAGAGAGACAAATGCATGCAGAGAGAGCCAGTTAGAAATGGGTGAGTAAAGACCTAGCGATGGGGCTGGGCATGGTGATCATGCCTGTAATCCCAGCTCTCAGGAGTAGAGGCAGGGGTATCATGAGCTTGAGGCCGGTCTGGGCTACATAGCCGGACCCTGTCTCCAAACAAAAACCGTAGATATAGAGGAGAAACAGAGGCAGTCAGAAATGAAGGACGACACAGAGAAGGCACCTGCAGAAGCTTATCTGTTGCTGCATAACAAATTAACCTAACACTTGGTTGCTTAAAACAACAAACATTTGTGTCTGTCAGTGACTGAAGATTCAGAATTGGGGAGTTGACTGACCAGGGGCTCCTGGTCACAGGAGGATTAAGTTAGTGGCCAGGACTGGGTCATCTGAGGCCTTTTATAAGCAGGCCTCCCCAGGTCACACTCCTCTTATTCTCAGTCATAATCAGAAATGAATCACTTAGTCCAGACACAGTCACCCCTGGTGACCCTTCACAAGATGTCTAAGCATGTGTGGACTTATTTATTTATTGGCAGTACTGGGGTTTGAACTCAGGGCCTTATGCTTGCTAGGCAGGTGCTCTACCTCTTGAGCCACTCTGCCAACCCTTTTTTGTGTTGGGTTTTTCGAGATAGGGTCTTCTGAACTATTTGCCTGGGCTGGCTTCAAACCATGATCCTCCTGATCTCTGTCTCCCAAGTAGCCAGGATGACATGTGTGAGCCACTAGTGTCTGGCTAAATTCTTACTGCTTTAAGGCATGCAGTGTGATGATTTTCTTTTCTTTATTATCATTATTATTATTATTATTATTATTATTATTGGAGACAGGATCTCTTTATGTAGCCTAGGCTGGCCCAGAACTCGAGATCCTCCTGCCTCAGATTTCTGAATGCTGGGATTACAGTCATGCACCACCATGCCTGGTCTATGTTGAATTTTTACCATATTTGACTCCAGGGATAGAGATCTGGAGTCTATATATATGGGAAAGACATGGAACCAGGTGGGTTCTGGTAGCTCATGTCTGTAATCCTAGCTACTCAGCAAATAGTTCTGGATACCCTATCTCAAAAATACCCAACACCTGAAAGAGCTGGCAGAGTGGTAGAGGACCTGCCTAGAAAGCATTCAAACTCCAGTACTACCAAAAAAAATAAGAAAGAAAGAAAGAAAAAAAGGCATGCAACAATCAGCGACAGAGATAGTAAAAGAAGCATTGGAATGAGGGCAGGACAGACAGACAGATGCTGCTGAAGAACAAGAAGGCTCTTCCTAAAACTTGGATCTCCTTCCCCAGGGCTGACACTACCCCCTCACCCCCCACCCTCATCAGGTCAGGGTCTGCTGGGGACCTTCATAAGGCCTTGTGCTACCTCCATTAAGACACAGATGTCACATGTCCTCCTTCGAAGGTCCAATCCTGACCCACCTCTGAGTCCTAAGTAGAGAAGTCAGATTGAAAGGAACCATATGCCTGATGTCTCTCTCTGAAGGTTCTCCCCATGCATCAGGCTGGGAGACACTTGAGTTCTCTGCAGTGTCCCCGTGATGACGTCCCAAGCCAGTCCCAGTGTCTCTCCCATGGTTACACAGTGCACTGCACCTAGTTGGATCCAGGGCTTTCACATCCTGCACACTGGGCAAGTCCTGGGACTGACTTAGTCTTGGTGCCACATTTCCAAGGGAGACTTCAAGAGAACATGTTGAAGCCAGGGGTGATAATGTACACCTGTAATCCCAGCACTCAGGAAGCTGAGGATCATGAGTTTGTGATCAGCCTGGGCTACACAGTGAGACCCTGTCTCAAAAAAACAAAAGCAAAAACAAAACAAAACAAAGAACAGGGTTGGGAGCATGGTTCAAAGTGGTAGAGTAGCTGCCTAGCAAAGGCATGGACCTGAGTTCAAAACCCAGTACAGTAAAAAAAAAAAAATACAGGAACTGTGCCATTCACCGATGGGTGAAACAACAATTTTCCTACTCCAGGGTTTTAGGAGGCAGCCTTCTGGTATAAGTGACATTTAACTTCCTGACTTTCTTCCTGTCCCCACTTTTCTGGTTGGAGCTCAGAACTCATTGGCTTTCACCTGGATTCTTTCCCTGCCACCTGCCCTCCCTGCTAGCTAGTCCATCCCACAGAGTAGTCTATCCCACAGAGGTCTTCTTACACCCAGAGGTGATTTGCTTCTCCCATAGTTAACCAACACCCTTAGACAGACATCCCCACCCCCAGCTTTTCTTGCCTTAACCAAATACTTCCTCTGTCCTTCAAGACTCACCTCTGGACCTAGTATGGCAGTGCATGTCTATAATCCTAGCACTCAGGAGGAAGAGGCAGGAGGTTGGTGAGTTTGAGGCCAGCCTGAGCTATACAGCAAAACCCTGTCTCAAAAACAAAACAAAAAGACAGCAGACCACATTGGCTCATGCCTATAATCCTGGCTACTGAGAGGGAGACATCAGAAGGATCGAGGTTCGAGGCCAGTCCAAGCAAAAAGTTCATGATACCTGTCACCCCCACTATGCTGGAAATGTAAATAAGACTGCAGTCCAGGCTGGCTTAGACAAAAATGCAAGACCCTATCTCAAAAATAACTAAAGCAGACCTGGGCACCAGTGGCTCACTCCTGTAATCCTAGCTACTCAGGAAGCAGAGATCAGGAGGATCGAGGGCAAATAGTTAGTGAGACCTTATCTTGAAAAACCCTTCACAAAAAAGGGCTAGTGGAATGGCTCAAGGTGTAGGCCCTGGGTTCAAACCCCAGTACATCACAAAAAAGAGCCTCTCTGAGCTACCTCAGTGATAACCATTGCCTGTATCACTGTTTTACGGTCTCTCCCACAGGGTTGACTCTGCTCTTCCCCAGATCACAGACTGTCTATGGCTCCCTAACCCTAGTGCCTTCAGGAAAAGAAATCCATCTGAGGTCCTTCCTTCTTCTTTCTTTCCTTCCTTTCCTCCCTTTCTCCCTTCTTTTGTCCTTCCTTTTGATAGGGAGGGTCTGAATCTGTAGCCCAGGTTGGCCTGGAACTTGCCATCTTCCTGCCTCAACCTCCCAAGTGCTGGGATTATAGCTGTGTACCATCATGCCCGGCTGTCTTCTCTCTCCTCTTCTCACACCAGGCTCTCCAGCCTCTGCACCTTTTCATGAACTGGCCTCTCTCCCTGGGGCTCCCCTTCCCCTCTTCCTGTTGGGCCAATTCCTACTCAAACTTCCCAGCGTTTCAGAAGACCCCTACAGGATACCATCTGGCAATTCCACGAGGTGGACAGGGGCCCCTTTTGAGCTCTGGCGGCCACCTGGGCCACCTCCATTATGGTGCTCAGACACGCTGGGCTTGGCGCCCAGAGGGAAAGGAATGGCAGGCGGAGGTGGGCCCAGATGTGGATTTCACGCCTGTTGGTCTCGGGTGCTGGGAACAAAGTTGGGTGGTAAGGAACACATGGGGCTCACCCTGCCCTGCTCTTTCATCTCCCCCCTCCCCAGCTCCTTGTGGAGGCGACAGGCCCCAGACTTTCCAGCCACAGTGGTTCCCACAACCCTCTGCCTGCCCTCAACTCCCACGGTCTTCATGAACCCAACAAAATCCTCTCCAGTTTGAGCTGCTGCAGAGGGGCGTGGCCTCTGGGTGTTAAATAATACTTAACTCATTTGACATTTTTGTATGTCAGGCTCTGTTCTAAACCCATTGTGTAGATTAATTTATTTCATCTCCGAATTGTCCCCATCCCAATTTATAGATGAGAACACGGAGCAGGCAGAGAGTGGATTCGAACCCAGGCAGTCCGGCTCCAGCGTCCACACCCTTCTGGAGCCCAGCCAAGGCACTGGTCCAGTATGCCTGTGTTTCGATGTCCAGGAGGATTGTGATTCAAAACCACCCTGGGCAAATAGTTTGTAAGACCCTCGCTCAAAAAAAAAAAAAAAGATGTGACCAATATGTGCATAAGGGGATTTGTAATTTACTTTTTGTTTATTTGCAGTGCTGGGGATGGAGCCCATCACCTCATGCATACTAAGATGGTGCTGTTCTGCAGAGCTATACCTCCAGCCCTGACTTTGTAAATTTGCAATTTTATTTCAGTTTAATTAAATGTGTAGTTCCTGGCTATTGTCTTGGAGACTGCAACTATGGGAAACAGTTTGAATGCAGGCTACATGGGTGACCTCAGTGATGGTTTCTAAGTCTCCCCGCCTTTCTGAGACTCAGGGTTTTTGTTTTGTTTTGTTTTGTTTTGTTTTGTTTTAGGAGGGGTGGGACCAAGGTTTCAATTCAGGACTTTGCACTTGCAAAGCAGGCACTCTATTGTTTGAGCCACACCTCCAGCCCATTTTGCTCTGATTGGTTTGGAGTTGGGGGGGGTCTCTAGAACTATTTGCCCAGGATGACCTCCAACTGAGGTCCTTCCAATCTCAGCCTCCAAAGAAGTAAGAATTATAGGCATGAGCTATAGATGCCTGAAAATTTTTTTTCTCCTTAACACAGTGTCTCTCTCTATAGTCCAGATTGGCCTGAACTCTCAACTGGAGTCCTGGGATAACAGGAGTTTGCCACCACACCTGGTTGTAAGCATATATGGCTTGTGTGGGACTTTTCAGTGCTTCCTTCTGTTGCTGTGGCAACAGAAGATACCATGGGTTGCAATTTGATGCAACAAGAAGGTGGATATCTCTTATCTCAGCCCGATCCTCGAGTAACTGTAGAAAACCACCCCTTGTCAACTTGCATGGGACATATACATGATGGAGAAAGAAATTCTTATGTGTCAAGCCATCAGATCTACCTGAACCTGAGTAACAGCAGACCTCAATGAAGTATGGAAGAAGCTTGCTGTTATATGTCCCAGGAAGAGAGAAAAAGCAAGTGCAAAGGCCCTGGGAGAGATTGTAGTTTGTGCTTGGGGTATTTTTTTGGGGGTGGGGGTGGTACTGAGGTGTTTGGACTCAGGGCCTCACGCTTGCTAGGAAGGCACTCTAAGGCCTGAGCCACGCCTTCAATCCTGTGCTTGGTTTCTAAAGGAACAGGAAGGCCATGTGACGGCAGTGTCACGAATGAGGAAGGGTGATAGGAAGTGAAGCCAGTGCTGTGGTGGGGATAATTTGCAAAGGGCCTTGTCCTTGTCTAGGGCAAGGACTCTGGATTTCTTCTGGGTGAGAATGGAAGCTCAAGAATTCTGAGCACAGTAAATAGGTATTCTGACTTTGGGTGTTTTTTGTTTGTTTGTTTTTGGGGGGGGATGCTGGGGATGGAACCCAGGGCCCCGCACATGCTAAGTAGGTGCTCTACCACTTGAGTCATGTCCCCAGCCTCCTTTGTTTATATTTTGTTTTTGAGACAGATTCTTACCTGTAATTCTGGCACTGGGGAAGCCGATGAAGGAGTATCACAAGTTCAAGGCCAGCCTGGACTACATAGCCAGACACTGACTCAATAAACAGCAAAAACAAAAAAGACTTCTGCTTCAGAGATGCCACCCTGGGATCTCTTTGGCTGAAGGCCAAAGCCAAGGCCCCCAGATAGAGAATTTTGTCATCCCCCTGTAGGCTATTTCCTGCTTTTTTCAGCATCCCCAGGGACAAATCCAGGCCTGCAGGACACCTTTCTCTCTGCCTAGCACCCTGTGATCTCAGGGTCCATCCTACTCCTTATTGGCCACGAGCCCCACTTTTCTCTCAGGGAAGGAAAGAGTTGCTTTTCAGGTCGAAATGGGCTCCAAATCTTATCCCTTCCTCTAAGACTCCCTCCATCTATTCCCTCAATGACCTGTATAAAAGATTACCGAAATCTGAAGTTGTGGTTGCAGAGGCAGAGGTCAGGGTGTCACGGAAGGAGCTAGACCGTGACAACCTTCCTCTCCATAGTACTTACACGTCCTGCCTCTTTAGTCCTGCCCCTCTGGCCTGTAATGCCCTACTATTGGACAGGAATAGAATTCTGCTTAGCATCAAGTGATGTCATACCACTCTCTAGCTCCCAATTGGCTCTTCTCTCAAGAAAGGGTCTGGGGATGCCCTTCAAGATAAGGTCGGAACCTGTCAGAACCTTTTTCAGACATTCATTCAAAGTCCTATTTATTCCATTCTCAGAGACTATGTTGAGGCCCATCAGAAAAGAAAATTCTGGGAATATGGAACTGCTGTCCTTTTCTTCCTCAAATTTCCCGCTTTTTCCATCCACACGGTCCTTTGGCCTGTTGGGGTCGAGAGACCTCATCTGAGTGAGTATCCCATCCCCCACGGAGGGCAATAGCATTCCTACATGCTGAGGAGATGGAGGCCTGCATTCCTGCATCCTAAAGGAGAGATACAGATCTGCCACAGGGCTGATGAGCAAAATGCTCAAGATAGTTGCCTTCCCTCCAAGAAAGGTGCTAACCAAACCAGCTCACCTGAGAAAGCCCGCGAATCCGTGACCAATGAGAAAAACCCCAGCCCTCACCTGAGCAGCGAGCCACCGGCTTCCAGGCTCCACTGCACTTCTCTAGCTGTGGCCTTTCCTTTCTCTCTAATAAATCCCACTGTATATACCGGCTTTGGCTCATCATTCAGCTGCCTCACAAGCCAGCTCTCTGGACTGTGAAGGCCAGGACCCTCGACCCCAGCACGTAACAGGCCTATCAACAGGCAACTCAAACCCGACTACCCAGTGACGCCGTAAGAATCCTTTCATTGGATTGGCCATTTTGATTCAAGGCCTTCATTTGCCCCTGGAGACTCTGCCAACGTGGATCAGGGGTCTGTGGACAAAATTCCCCAGGATTTGAGACTTTATTGTGGGAAATAACTGTTAGGGTCACAGGCCAAATGAAGGGCTGGTGGGCACAGAAGTACTGCTCACAGTTCGCCACTTTTTGTTGAAAATCGCTCGCGCCTGCGTGGTGCTGACGCATACAAAGTGACGTCAGGAGCCGCGCGCCTTCTGATTGGCTTCATCTGGAGCACCGCGGCTTCTGATTGGCTCTCTGAGGACGCCCTTCGAGGGAGAAGGCAACACTAGCCAGTTCTTCGAAGTGCGGTGGTCAGCTTTCCGTGCGGCCCAGCTCTGGCTAGTGTTCAGGCCCAGGGCTCGGTGTCGGAGGCCTCAGGCCGCGGCAGCCCCCTGCACGCTCCTCCTGCTGCAGCCGCCGCAGCGGCCGGGCCCAGCGCGGCCTCCAGGGCAGGGCAAGGCCGTGGCGATCGAGGACGAGGCGCGTGGGATCCGGGTCGCCAGCTGCGCTGCCCAGCAGCAGGTAGTCGGTACCAGGCCGTAGACGTAGGCAGCCACAGGCCAAGTCGACGCGGGGCACCCAGGCGTCCTGGCTGCCGTGGCGCACTGGCTGTGCCCTCTGCTTATACACAGCCAACACGCGCACGGCCAGGCGACGCCATGCAGAGCCTGCCACCTCGAACGTCAGCACCTGCGCGTGCAGAACTGCGGGGTGGGGCGGTGTCAGGCTCGGGTGGTGGGGCCTTCAGGTCACCTAGAGGTCCCTTGGGGATCAGTCCTGGTGGGGATGATCCCAGTGGGTGGCCTTCTGGGATCATGTTAGGAAGAGAGATCTCGAACTTTGCGGGTGAGGACCAGAAGTGGTCCTGAAATGTGAGGGCGGCGGGGATGGGAGGGAGTGGTGTATGGGCTTGTAAGGTGGTGTTCCAGGATTGTGGTTAGGAAAGGCCCGGCTTGTGCAATCTCATCCAGAAGAGGGGAGACACACAGGGAGAGGAGTCCAGGAACCTGGGGTGAGTTGGATGGGGCTGGGGGGTCATCTTAAGAGTAGTGGATACATGAATTACATTAAAGATGGAGGGCCTACCATAGGTGGGTCTGGGGACAAGTGCCATTAATGCATTAGGATCACAAAGTATCAGGAATGGGGCCCTTTGGGAAAGAGGAGATATTAGCAGGAGAAGGGCTCAGAGATGAATTTGGGGGTGAGAAGAAAGAGGTCTGTCCCTAGAACCCTGAGGCTTGAGGTCACATGAAAAGTGACTCAGAAAAGTGTACTCAGCTGGGTGCCAATGGCCTGTTATCCTAGCTACTTGGGAGGCTATGATCAGGAGGATTACCGTTCCAGGCCAGCCAAGGCAAAGAGGTCTCAGAGACCCCATCTCCAAAGTAACCAGAGCAAAATGGACTGGTGGTGTGGCTCAAGCTGAGGAGCACTGTTTTGCAAGTGGGAAGCCCTGAGTTCAAACCCCAGTCCCACCAGAAAAAAAAGAAAGAAAAGTATACTCTTTGAGGGGTGAGTGAGGGGCTGGATTCTGGGTAGAAGAGGCTGGGTCTGTGGCAGAAGATCCCTGTGGGAGGATGTTGTCTAGGACACTGGACAGATGACAATCCTGACAGAAGGGGAGTCCAGGTCTTATACACCAAGGGCAGTGTCTTGACTTGTGGGCTGGGCTGAACTCCTGAGTGTCTGAGAGATGAGTTGGTAGGCTCTTAGGCCCCAGAGTCGAGGAGCTGGTGTGGACTGATGGATGCAGGAACAGGGCCGTGGGTCTTTATGGGAAGGGAGACCAAGGCTCAGATATCTGGGACACTGGAGAGTCCAAGACAGGAAGGACAGGGCTAGGGCCTTTCCTCTCAACCAGGTTCCCCTTCTCCTTCCACCTCTCAAAGATGTCAGGCTGGAGGACAGGAGAAGAGGGGACACAAGGAGGTAGTGACATCCCCTCCCCACCGTCCTTCCCATTTGTTTTGTGTTTTGTCAGATCTTGGGTCAGGAAGAGTGCTTTAGAGTCCAATGTCCCTTTCAGTTAAGATTAAAAAAAAAAAACCAACAAAAAAACCCCGAAAGACAAAGAGAGGCAGGCCAAGATTCTGTGGGCAACCCCAACCCTTTTCTCCGGAGCACTCACCATAGTCCTGCTGGCAGTACTTCTGAAGGCTCATGTGGACGCTGGTGTCCGAGACATTGCAGTAGTTTTGACACTGAGGGTCTGGGGAAGGTCAGGCTGTCTTGGGGGGCTCTGGAGGCCTGACCAAAGTGATATGTTCTGCCCCTCCCCCACTCCATCTCCATGCGTAACTGGGGTGCCCCACCCTCAGGAAGGACTAGGTGACTTTGGACCCAGTCAGCCCATCCCCAGTCCCTCTTGCTGCCCGGAGATCTCTGTGCCAGCCTCTTACCAGAGCGGGAAGCCCCCGGAGTAGTAGCAAGAGTAGTTGTTGCCTCTGGAACTCCTATGAGAAGGAAGGAGAAACTTAATTTTGCCTCGTGGTGGTTCTTCCTGGGGAATCCAGACATCCCAGACTCCGAAGAGTGCAAGTATCCCTTGTCTTCCTCTCCCAAGACTCACTCCTTCTGCCCCCAGAATCAGAAGCTCAGGTCCTCCACCCTCTTAACCTCTGGACTCAGGAGTCTGGAATTTCAGTTTTGGCTCCAGTATGCCAGGGTCTCAGCCCACACCAAACCTATGCACTGAGACTGGGGCTGTCCCCTTCCCTCCCCACTCAGGACTGTGGTCCTGCCCCTGAGAACTCACGCTGGCAGGGCATCCTGGGGGAGCGGCTCTGCTGGTACCCAGGACCACACCGATTACATGTCAGGCCTGTGACCCCTAACTTGCAGGGGCATTGCCCGCTAGTCTGATTGCAGGTGCCTCCTGTTGCCCCAATAGGGTGACACTGGCAGGCTAGGCGAGGAAAGGAGCATGGGGTATTTGGAACTCAGGGGTCCAGACCAAATCTGCATTCCCCTGGTACCCGAACCCAGGAGCCCAAACGCCAGCCACCTTTTCTTCCAACCCAGGAGGCCAGGCCCCAACCCTCCTTCTTCAGACCCAGCAATCCAGATTCTAGCTTTCTTCCCTCAGACCCAGGGGTCCAGGTCCCAGCCTCCTCCCTCAGACTCTCCCTCAGATTCAGGAGCCCCTGCCCTATGTCCTTTCTCCTTCAACCTAGCTCCAGGCAGCACTCACCCTTGCAGGCCTTGCGACTGGTGATGGACTGGCTGGGGTCCCTCCAGAAGCCTGGTTGGCAATAATGGCAGTGCCGCCCTGCTGTGTGGTGGCGGCACCGCTCACACACACCCCCACTCCGGCCACCCGATAGCCTGAACAGCTCAGAGTTGAACCGGCAGCGTCGGGCATGCTGGTTGCAGGAGCAGGCTAGGAGCGAGATGGAGACACATCAGGCCAGGGTTTCTGTCCCCTACTCCCCAGCCTTCTTTCAGGAAAGGAAAGATAGTGAAGTCCCATGTGACCAAGACCGCCTGGGGCTCCCTGGTGAACCTGGGTCTCAGACCATCTTCATTCTCATCTTAAGTGGGTGAATTGGAGTGGAGCCTAAGGGCCCTGTGGCTCTCCTGAGGTGCCTGTGACCCTCCTAAAGGGCCCTGTGAGCCTCTAGAGCAGCTCTGTGGAACTCTGGTGTGGAAAGGACCATAAGGGAAGTGTTTTTTAAAAGCTAGCCAGATGTGGTGGTGCACACCTGTAATCCTAGCCACTTGGATGGCAGAAGCAGGATGCTGGACGAAGCTACCAAGACCCTGTCTCAAAAACAAATGACAAACAATAGACTGGGGATGTAGTGCTCTCCTGGCATGTATGAGTTCCTCAGTTCCATCCCCAGTGTCACCAAAACCCAACCAAACAAAAAAAGCCAGGTACAGTGGCCTAAGTCTGTAATCCTTGCTACTCAGGAGGTAAAGAAGTGGAGATTGGAGGGATGTCCATTAGAGTCCAGCCCAGGCAAAAAAGTTTGCAAGACCCCCATCTCAACTAATAGCTGGGTGCAAGCCTGATACCCCAGCTATGCAGTAAAGCACAAATAGGAGGTTTATGGTCCAGGGCAGCCTGGGCATAAAGTGAGATCCTATCTCAAAAATAACCAAAGCAGCAGGGCACTGGTGGCTCACGCCTGTAATCCTAGCTACTCAGGAGGCAGAGATCAGGAGGATCAAGGTTCCAAGCTAGCCCTGGGCAAATAGTTCATGAGACCCTATCTCAAAAATACCAAACACAAAACAAGCTGTAGAGTGGCTCAAATGGTAGAACACCTGTCTAGCAAGAATGAGGCCCTGAGTTCAAACCCCAGTACTGGGAAAAACAACAACAAAACTCCACATAAGCCAGGGCCCACTCTCTCGCCATTCACTGAGCCTAGCAGCCCAAAATGAGATGCTGATGTATAGGGAAAAAGAGCCTAAGAGGGCTGAGAGTCTATAGTGGCAGGTCCCTGGGAGCCCAGAGGAGAGGTAGGATGATCAGGGTGCCAAGACAGCTGTGTGTTCATGGGAAAATAACTCTCCCTCTCTGGGCCTCAGGTTGCTCCCTGACTGGTGGGGTTCTCCTTCTTTGGCTTTCAGGGTTCGGTGAATATTAGAGGTAGCAATGCTGTCTGATGGGTAAGAGGCAGGGATAGGATCTGGAGGAAAGAATGAGACCACCACATCTGGAAAGCAGCAGGAGTGTCTCACCTATCCACCAGCCCTTTCACCACAGCACTATTGGTCTCTCACCCAGCACTGCAGGACCCAGTCCCGCTCAGCCTGGGTGGCTGTGGCCATCCTTAAAGGGACAGCCTTCCCAGTGCCCAGGCCTGTCCAGGCCCAGGATGAAGCCTGCTCCAGTCTCAAGACATGTGAGTCTCCCTCACAGGGAAGTGGAATGGGGTGAGAACACCAGGATGACCTGTAGTCCATGTGACATTCTTCATGTAGGAGAAGGAGGAGAAAAGGAAGGCCAGGGAGCAGGGCACACACGTGAGTGGTAGCAGTAATGGTTCATTCACAGGGCCTGTAAGGCTCTTAGACCTCTCCCAAGGTCACAGCTGGAGGTGGAGGAGGACATGGGAGGGAGCTGACAGCGCCCAAGCCCTGGGGGCACCTGGAGAGGGAGAGGCACTGAGGGAAGCTGGGTGTTCACCCCTGGAAGTGGTAGCCTCTAGGAAGGCCTGAGTCCCAGAGGACAATCTTGGTAACACCCTTTGAACTCAGGGCCTCTACCTTGAGCCACTCCATCAGTCCTTTTTTTTTTTGTGATGGGTTTTTCCAGATGGGGTCTAGCTAACTATTTGCCCAGGCTGGCTCAAACCTCGATTCTCCTGATCTCTGCCTCCTGAGTAGCCAGGATTACAAGTGTGAGCTACCGCCACCCGGCTTGGTGCCTCTTTTTGAGATTTGAGTTAGCCATTTGTGCCCTCCCCTTGGAGCTCACCTTCCTTGTTGGGGATGTAATACAGCAGGTGCTTGGGAAGTTTTCCTTAGGCTCTGCTGTGAGGGCTTAGTGTATATCAGCTCATGAATTTCCACTACAGCCATGAGGAAGCACTCTGACTATCACCACTTAAACCAGACACAGAGAGGTTAAGTCACTGGCCTGAGGTCACACAGCTAGTGAGCAGAAGAGCTGGCCTCTAGCCTGAGTAGGCTGGCTGGCTAGTAAGGCTGTGCTTTTGTGTGCCACACTGGAGTTCCCTGGGCGACAGCACCCAGCAAGAGCTGGGTAGGGAAGAAGCAAGGTCCACGAGTTCCCATCCTGACCCTATCACACATGGTAGCTGTGTGTCCTCGTGCAAGGGACTTCAGTCCTTGGCCTCAGCATCCTCATCTGGAAAATGGGCTGGATGGTGATACTACCTGACACAAAGATGTCAGTCAATGAGCACATGAGGTTTGTTTGAGGAGTCTGGAAGTGCCAAGTTACCTACCTGACCTCCTCCCAAGCCCCTGCACCAAGCCAGGCCTGGGCTGTGCTCTGCTGGGAACTGTTATTGACCTTACCATGGGCAGGTCCAGTAGTGTTGAGAAAGTCAAGCCTCTGATGGCAGGTGGGGACAACCTGTGTTCTGTGTCGCCACAACTCACAGCAGCCACATGGAGAAGGGGCCAGGAGGGAGCCAGGTCCAGAACAGTGCAGGTTCAAGCAATGAGCAAGCAGGTTGGGAGGGAAGGAGGCATCCTGTGCCCTGGGGGACTAGGCCCAGCTGCAGGGTGTGGGGGGGGCCCTGGGGCCCAGTCGTGGGAGAGAGGGGAAGGGGAAGCAGGGCCTAGGACTCACGCAGGCAGGGGTGGGGGTGCTGAGGTGTGGCGGGCCGCCAGGGCCAGTCGCGGTGGGACGGGCGGCAGCTCTCGCAGCCTGGGCCAGTGGTGTGGTGGCGGCAGCGGCAGCGAGGAGGTCGGGTGCGGGCAGCACAGCGGGCAGCATGGCCGTGGCACTGACAACGGCCTCTCACCCCGGCAGCCGCCAGCCCTGCCTGGCCCCCAAACTCTACACGGAGGTGGCTGACCACCACCTTGGCCTTAGGACCTGGTGGGGAGCGGAAGGTCACCCTCTCAGGAGCCCCCAGGACCCCTGGCCAGGCAGGCCTGCGCCACAGCAGCCTCCAGGGCCCTCCAGCAGCCCAGGCAGCAGACAGGACCAGGGCTGGGGGTCCTGGGGTGCAGAAGCGCAGGCTGACAGATGTCAGGAGGAAGGGGCCATCCAGGTCCAGGGTCAGGCTGCTGTTACAGGTGGCCGCAGGGCCAGGGCCACTCCCTGCAGGAAGGGCACAGGCCTGAGGGCAGGAGGCCATCACACCGCCAGCCAGCTGGGTCACTGGTGGGAGGCAGAAGCGAGGGCGGCCCCCTGGATCATAGCATGGATCTGAGGTGGCCTGGCTCAGGAAGAGCAAGAGGACAAAGGTCACGGACATGATCACAGCAGAGCCAGCACCTGGAGAGGAGAGGTGGCCAGGGAGAACCTCACCATCAGCTCTCTGCTGGCTCCCCAAGGCTCCCTGCAGAACCCCAGCATCCCACAGAGCCCCTCCCGGCTGCTTGGAAGCGAGGAAAATAACTCCATCTGGGGAGAATTACTGTTTACATAACCCAAAGGGGAAAGAACGCAGACAAAATCAAGAATCCTGCCCGAACTAATCCCAAGCTTAACACCCCAGAGTTCTCCATCAGCATCAGGGCGGCGGCCCTGGGCAAGGGCGAGGGGGTGGGCAGAGGGACGCAAGGCCAACAGATGCGGAGACCCAGAGACACCCAGAGACAAACAAGGGCAAGATGGGGAGCGGGGCTCGGCTAGAAAGATGAGGACTCAGTAACAAAGAACTGGAGAAAGGGACAGAGGCAGAGAAGGGAGCAGGGAGATGGACAGGGGCTGCTGAGGATGGGTGGAGGCTGCATGCCAGAGACAGTGGGGCCAGGCAGCAGAGTCAGCAGGAAGCTGGGGGACGTGGGGGCTGGGAGGGGAAAGCAGGGGCGGCCCAAGAGCAGGCAGCCTGGAGGACAGCAGGCAGCCTGCAGGTCCGGGACAGGAGATCTGAAGTGGAGGCTATAGCCCTGGCCCACGGGGATCAGAGCAAGGCCCTTTCCCACGTGGGGCCCTAACCTTGTTCTCCACACCCTGGGCACGGAGGGGGATTATCACCAACAGCCCAGCCTCCCTGCCACCCACCCCAGTCCTCTTCCTTAACCCTTTCCCACCCAGGGGCAAAGCCAAATAGCAGCACCAGGGACAGGATTGGGCCCAGGGACTGGAAGCCATGGTCACTGTTGGTGGGATAGCAGCATTCTGGTTGACTGGGAAGGTGGAAGCCTGGGTGCCCATTAGGACTCAGGGCATGGGGACCTTCTGATCATCTCAGCCCCACCTGCCACCCTGGCCTCAGGGCCCAGAGACCAGAGTCCCTGTAGTGCCCTTCCATTCCTCAGGTCACCAGAGCAGATGGGGGAGCAGATGTTGGGGTAGTAATGAGAGAGGGGCGGCGGGAAGGGAGGAGGGAGGGACAGGGCTGTGCCAAATGCCAGGGTGCCCCAGGGGACCAGAAACCCAGACCCCAGGGGATGGCAAGAGCCCAGGATGCAGGCTTCAGCTATCTCCCATCTTCCCTTCCCAGCTGGCAGCCCCCAGTGAGGGCACATTCAGGACTGGGCCTTTCTGGTCTCTGCGTCCCAATCTTCACCCAGGCTTATAGCCTGGGGGCATCCTGGGCAGGTGTCCACACGGTCTCCTGTGCCCCGCTGCTGTCACTATGTGCAGACCACTGAGCTGGCCCTGTGCCTTCAGGAGCCTGGCACCATTTTTTTTTCCTTTTTCTTTTATTATTCATATGTGCATACAAGGCTTGGTTCATTTCTCCCCCCTGCCCCCACCCCATCCCTTACCACCCACTCCGCCCCCAAACCTGGCACCATTTTATGCCCATGTGGCAGGCCTTGGGCCAGCCCCTACAGAAGCGCATGGCTCTCTGGGTAGTTCAAGGGGCTCTACCTTGTGGACCTTAGCACCTTTGGGAACCAGGCCATGCATCTCCCAATGTGTCTAGGAGACCCAGAAAATAGTCCCTGCCCACTGCAGAGCCTCGGTGACTTCTGGGCCTGTAGCCACCCCACCACTCAGGAGCGGGTCCAGCCAGGCTCCGCAGACCCAGGTTGGCCTGGCCTGGGCAGGAGGGGTTGGGACCCAGGCCTCCTTCCCCCACTCTTGGCATGCACTCCCCCACCCACCCCAACACACACACCCAGGCCTGTAGTCCCTGGCACTGGCCAAACCTGCACAGAGAAGAGCGTGCTGCAGTCGTCCCCAGGTCCCCAGGTCCCCACATGTGCTCCTCCCACTGGAGCAGGAACCCATGCTGCAGTGGGCTCTCAGGAGGGAGTGAAAGTGGCTGCTCTCAGGCCCAGGCTAGTGGGGGTTCTGGGCGGGAGCTCAGAGCAGAGCCTGCAGAATCCAACACCACCTCCCCCCACCCCCACCGCCCCAGCCCCCTCGCCAACACAGCCACTCTTTCCCCGCAGGGACCCCTGCCAGCCATACCACCCGGGACTGTGTGGGATGGGAGGGCCGTCGCCCTCAACAGGCCAGTGAGAGCAGGCTGGCCCAGGAGGCTCCAGGCAGGTAGGAAAGCAGGTTGCATGGTGGGGCTCCCTGCACAGTGGGGCTCGGGACAGGGGTCCTTGCTTTGCTCCACGTGCTCTGATTCCCAAGGGTGCAGCGCAGCCTGTGCTGTGGTAACTGGTGGTGGTCTGCGATCGGTGCACAGCTACTCACACCAAGGTGGGTCTTTGCTTTGAGAATTCTGCCACCAGCCTCAGAGAAACTCGTTGCTGGCTGAGGGAGAGGTGGGCAGGGGAGGAGGGAGAACACCCCAGACCCAGGGCTCTGGGGCCACGGAGAAAGCAAGGACCCCAAGGAGCATGGGGCGGGGCGGAGCTCAAAGGCAGCCCCGGCTTTCATTTGAAATTCTCGTGGTAGTGTCGCCTTACCATGGAGTACTAGTGACCAGAGGAGACTACCGGGGCTGCCGAAGGCCGGGGCGATTCACTGCTTTCGTGCCCACGGTGGCATAGTGTGAGCTGACCAGAGGGCGCTCAGGAACCTTCTGCTCTGGAGGTGGCAGGCAGTCGTGACTGTGGTTCCAGGTGGCCCTCAGGTCCAGAATTCAGCAGGAGTAAGGACAGGGACATCAGGATTTAAAAGTCGGGTGTTTATTCTAAAAGCCATGAGGAGTTAGCTACAAGACAAAGGGACTGGGGCCAAGACCTCCCCCACATCAGAGAGGGACATATGGGGACAGGGGTGGGGGGAGGTGGTGTGTGTGCAAGTGACAGGATGACATATTGCAAGATTCATGGCGCTAGTGGACTCAGCAGGTCCTCACCGAGCTTCCTGCCCACCAGCCACCCTTGAGTGGAGACCCACTCAAGGGCCCCGAGCCCTGGCCCAGGTCAGCACTTTCTAGGGATGTGAGGCTGTGAGAAAGGGGTCAGGTGCTTGGTGGCAGGGCAGGGTGGGGTGCTGTGTGTCTCTGGGGGACGGTGAGGGGCTGATGGGACTGAGACCTGAAGGCAGCACCCTGCAGGCTGAGGCATTGTGTTGTGAAGGCGGGTTCTGCTGGGGCACGGTGAGGATCTCACTGCATTTTCCTCGCTGCTGGTGGGACCAGAAGTCCCTAAGTTCCTGTCCCCTGGAGGGACTTTTCTTCCTCAGTTTGTCTGCTAGCTGGAGTGGCCCCAGGCAATTTGCACCCCTGGCAGCTCCCTGGGGCGGGTCAGAGCCCCACAAGGAACCAGCTAGAAGGAGACATGGGGTGGGACTCCCCGGTGGGGCATTCACCCTCTCAGTGTTACTAGAAAAAAAAATGGTCCTGAAAATTACCTTGGTTCTTGAGTCCGCTGGAGAAGAATTCAGGCAAGATGCAAAGATTTAATAAAAGTAACAGTAAAATTTATTAGGAGAGGAATGGGATGCAGGGGAGAAGCATTTCCTGTTTCCCACGCAGGGAATAGGAGCAAAGACGCAAGATGCTGGTCCCCAACTCCTAGTTTTATATTGGAGAGGTGGGGAAATAAATACACAGGGTCAAAGATAATGGCTCTGGGTGGCTCTGGGTGACAAAACGAGGGTGGGGGTCACCCTCCCTAATCACACCCACAACCCACCCAAGTCAGAGAGACAACAGGTGTTCTTTAGAAGGCCCTTTCCTGGATGCGAATATCCCTCCACCCATCCAAGGATCTTTGCAACTCCTTAACATCTTGAGAGCTTGTTTGGAGGTTCTAGCAGGGGAGCGCAGCTACTCGTATACCCTTGACCGAAGAACGGTCCTCCTCTATCGGGGATGGTCGTCCTCTTCGACCGAGCGCGCAGCTTCGGGAGGGACGCACATGGAGCGGTGAGGGAGGAAGGGGACACCCGCCTAGCCAGCCAGATCAGCCGAATCAACCCTGGCGATCAATGGGGTGACAGATGTCGCAGCCAGATCGCCCTCACATCCATCTTAAGAGGAAACAGACGCCGGGAGTTCCTTGGCTCCATCTACAAGATGGGAGGGGCCAGCCGGCAGAGTCTGGCTGGTTAAATATTTACTAAAATAAAATAACTTCCGTCTCCTCTTATGGCCACCACTACCGGCTGCCTATCAACAGGGCCCGGGAGGGCGGGGCCTGCAGGAGCTAGCTCTCTGGTGCGCTCAGGCCCGATGCCCTTGAGGCACCAGGACCCAGAAATGACATCAAACTGCATACAGAATGGGGCCTCTGAGTAGGAATGGTGACCATCCTTCCCTTAGGACACACCTGAGGTCGCACACGCTCCTGAGTTGAGCCTAAAGCAGCTTTGTTGTTAACACTGGGTTCTTGCCATGCCCCCAGCCCTTTTTGTATTTTTTAGGTTTTGAGAGTCTCATGAATTTTTCCCAGGCTGGCCTCAAACTTGGGTTAACAGGGATTACGGTGGGCAGTACCATGCCAGTTTTCTTTTTTTTTTTTTTTTTTTTTGTGGTGTTGGGGTTTGAACTCAGGGCCTACACCTTGAGCCACTCCACCAGCCTCTTTTGTGATAGGTTTTTTTTTATAGGGCCTTGCAAACTATTTGTCAGGACTGGCTTTGAACCTTGATCCTCCTGATCTCTGCTTCCTGAGTAGCTGGGATTACAGGCATGCACTGCTGGTGCCCAGCTTTTTTTTTTTTTTTTTAAAGACAGTTTCACTGTGTAGCCCAGCCTCCCAAGTGCCTGGGTTACAGTCTGGTACCACCAAGTTTGGCTAAAAGTTTTAAAAATAAAAATCAAGCTGAGTATCGTGGGGCACATCTCTAATCCCAGCACTCAGGAGGCGAAGGCAGGAAGCTGAAGCAGGAGGATGGTGGATTCCAAGCCCTGGCCCATACCCAGCTTCTAAAGCAGCTTTCTTCACCTCTCTGGGCCTTGTTTTCTTCATGTCTAAATGGGGGTTAAAAATGTACCCACCTCATGAGAAAGGGGACGTCACAGGAGAAAATGACCGAGGACAGGCCCTGGCCTCTGACATGAACTGTGGGGCACACATTTTCCTGAGCCTTGTGTGTTTTGCACCTTTGCAGGGTGGTGGCAGGTGGGGACCCCCTTATCAAGCATGCTGTTGTTTCCGCAGCAAAGCCTGGGGGTGCCCCGCGTGAATAGTTCAGGAAAGGGATTGCAGAGCAGGGCAGAACAGGGAGAGCGGGCCTCCACTGGCTCTGCTCCTCAGGGCTTCCTGCTTGTTGAAGCTGAGTTACAGCCACTAGGGGGGCGCCTGAGACCCAGAGAGAAGGTGACAGAGACCAGCTGAGGGGGCACAGTGCACAGCGAAAACTCAGCATTTAGTAAGAACTTCAAGCAGGGCTTGGTGGCACAGATCTGTGATCCCTCTGCTCAGGAGGCAGAGGTAGGAAGGTCTGTGGTCTGAGGGAAAAAACAGGAGATGCTACCTGAAAAATAATTAAAGCATAAAAGGGCTGGTGGAGTGGCTCAAGTGGTAGAGTGCCTGCCCAGCAAGCGTGAGGCCCTGAGTTCAAGCCCCAGTACCGCCAAAATAAAACTAAAAATACCCAGAGCAAAATAGACTGGAGATGTGGTTCAAACAGTAGAGCATCTGCTTTGCGAGCACAAAGCCCTGAGTTCAAACTCCAGTACCAACAACAAAAAAGAAATTTTCAATCGTGAGCCAATTGTAAGGAGTGTGATTTAACTCAATAAAATCATTACCAGCTGGGCGCCAGTCACTCATGCTTGTAATCCTAGCTACTCAGGAGGCAGAGATCAGGAGGATCTCAGTTCAAAGCCAGCCTGGGCAAATAGTTCAATGAGACCCTATCTCGAAAAAAATCCAACAAAAAAAAGGGCTAGTAGAGTGGCTCAAGGTGAAGGCCCTAAGTTCAAGCCCCAGTACTACAAAAATAAATAAATAAATAAAGCCATTACCAAAAAAAAAGAGGAGGGACTGCTCACCGCAGAGCTGCACATAAAAGCTAAAGCCACACAGATTGACTGGTATCACAGAGAATGTTCCAGAGGCAGAAGTGGCAAGTGCTAGTCCTAACTCCTGGCCCACAAGCAGGTACTGTGTCATTCTTGCCGTATTTGAGGTCAAGGCAGGCATGGGCCTTCCCAGATGAAGAAGGGTCAGGGATGATGTGGGCAGCTGGGATCTGTCACACTGATGGCAACAAGACACTCGGCACCCAACCATGGAGGGTGCTGTGACTAATCCCATTTGACAGAGACAGAGACTGAGGCATGGGGGTTATATAAGCTGAATTATGCAGCCAGCACGAGGCAGAGTAAACCTGTGACCACAGCCCGGGCTCTCAGCCGGCCTCCGTCACACTGCGCCCACCAGAGGGGACGAGGATTCTCGTGTCATTTGTTCTCCCTTGCTTGCTGGCCTCTAGTCACACCTCGTGTGCAGCAGATACATGGGAACCATTTCTCTCACGACACTGACAGTTTCCTGTGCGCTGGGCACTGTCAGAAGAATGTTAGAATTACCAGAGTCCCCACGTGGTGGCCTAAAACCACAGCTAGTGCCCAGCCTGGTGCTGATTTTTTTCACATACATAAATACTTTTGGAGTTTATAAATTAGACACATAAGAGATAACTAATTAATACAATACAACAGTTACAACAATATATTAGAATAAGTTGTGTAACTGTGGCTTCTCTTCCCCTCAACACGTCTTATGGTAGGTAGTTTAACTTTTGCACTTAGAGGAAGCCCTTTATGGCTTCTCTTTGGCAGGTCTGAATCACCAGCACCACCGTTCTTGCACTGTGGAACCATTATTAAGTGGAGTAAGGGCTAATTGAACACAGCATTGCAGCGTCACGACGGCTGATCTGACAACAACACAGATACTGAGTGACTGATGGGCGGGTAGCATATACAGTGTGGACACATTGGACACAGATGATTGCCAGAGTAGGATGGTAAAAGATTTCACTCAGAACAGCACAAATTTTTAAAACCGATGGATTGTTTATGGAATTTTCCATTTCACAGTTTCAGACCACACTTGTTCTTAGGTTATGACCACCTGATCACCTTGAACTTTCACAAAACCCCACAGTCGTTAAAGTGGGCTGTAGAAATGGCCAATTGTAGGTAAAATCTGGTTGACTATATACACATTTTCAAATGGGTGGGCCTAATCATCTGGGGTTAGCAGGTGAGAAGACACATTCAGAGAGGTGCAGTAACTTGATGTCATCACACAACCCTAGAAAGGGGTGGGGCTGGGTCTCAGGGCCAGGCAGAAGGAGCCCTGGAGTGGCCTCACTCCTCTGGCCTCCTGGGGAGCATACTGCATAGATGCATGGATTAAGCAAATCCATCAGCTGGGGGGCGGTGACTGAGAGTCATTAACCCCCCCACCCCCAGCCATCCCTCCTGACTGGCCTCTTTCCTCCCACAGCCATCAGGAGATGCAGGGCCACCTGCCCACCTGTCTCCACTTTCTACTTCCTTTTTATCATCTTCGTGGTGTCCACCGTCTTCCACTGTCACCGGCGCCTGGCTCTGGTGCCCGGGCCCTGGGCCTACGCGGCCCGCGTGGTCCTGGACCCCCGGCACCTCCCCAGGGAAGGCATGTTCACCATCAATGCCATCGGGCGCCTGGGGAACCAGATGGGCGAGTACGCCACGCTGTACGCCCTGGCCAAGATGAACGGGCGCCCCGCCTTCATCCCCGCCCAGATGCACGACACGCTGGCCCCCATATTCAGGATCACGCTCCCCGTGCTGCACAGCACCACGGCCCGCGGGATCCCGTGGCAGAACTACCACCTGAACGACTGGATGGAGGAACGCTATCGCCACATCCGGGGCCGCTACGTGCGCCTCACGGGGTACCCGTGCTCCTGGACCTTCTACCACCACCTGCGCCCCCAGATCCTGCAGGAGTTCAGCCTGCACGAGCACGTGCGCGAGGAGGCCCAGGCGTTCCTGCGGGGCCTGCGGGTGAAACGGGAGCCGGCCGGGCACCTTTGTGGGGGTCCACGTGCGCCGTGGGGACTACGTCCGCGTCATGCCTCAGGTGTGGAAAGGGGTGGTGGCCGATCGGGGCTACCTGGAGCAGGCTCTGGACCGGTTCCGGGCTCGCTACCACTCCCCGGTGTTCGTGGTCACCAGCGATGGTATGGCCTGGTGTCGGGAGAACATCGACGCCTCCCGGGGGGACGTGGTGTTTGCTGGCAGTGGCCTTCAAGGCTCCCCCAGGAAGGACTTTGCACTTCTCGTACAGTGCAACCACAGTGTCATCACCGTGGGCACCTTTGGCATCTGGGCCGCCTACCTCGCAGGTGGGGACACTGTCTACCTGGCCAACTTCACCCTGCCTGGCTCCCCCTTCCAAGATGTCTTTAAGCCCCAAGCGGCCTTCCTGCCCCACTGGGTAGGGATCGCTGCTGACCTCGGACAGGCCCAACAGCACGGCCTCTAGTCCTGCACCTTCTGAACCCTGAAAGGCAGTGTCTATGGGGTGCAGGGTGCAAACTGGATCCCACATGGGTTTTGTGTGTTTGTTGCTACTAGGGTTTGAAGTCGGCCTCCTACTTGCTATGCAGGCGCTCTGCCACTTGAGCCACTCCACCAGCACTTTTTGCTTTAGTTCGTTTTTGATAGGGTCTTGAGGTTTTGCCCAGGCTGGCCTAGGACCTCAGCCTCCTCTACCTCATGAGTAGCTGGGATTACAGAAGTGCACCACCCTGCCGGGCCCTCCACATGGGTTTTGAATCCAACCTTATCTAATTGAGTGACCTCAAATAAATGGCTTTACCTCTTGGTGCCTTCATGTGCCACCTACAAGCTGCATGACCTCAGCTGCAAAGCATGAGAGCTGGACAAGTTCATGTGCAGCAGGTGCCCTGTAAACGCTGGGCAGTGTGGACTGCTCTGTGGGCGCCGCGCTGGGTACTTGGAGTGCTTTGATGTGGAAACGGGTCTTTGCCCACTCCTTCCTCAAATCACCAGTGATGAAGTCCACATGATTTCCACTTGCCTCTCAGGAGGGCTGCCAATAAATCCTGTGCTGTGGCCAGGGTTCAGGGCAGCTCAGGTCTGGAATTAGCAAACTTGTTATGAGGGAATTTGAGGGAGAATGGGTCAGAAGGGACAGGTCTTTCAGAAATGCCTGTGGCGAGCAGGCATCCTCCCCACAGAGGAAGACAGGGTCTCCTGCAGGCTCCCCTGGGGTAGGAAATGGCAGGACCCGAAAACAGTCTTCAGCCACAGAAATCCAAGAGCACATGTGTCCACACAGCCCATTCATAGTCTTTGTAGACAGTGCCTGACAAGAGTCACCTCCTACCTAGCACTGCTTGAGACTCCTCAAGTTGGATGACTGGGTCTATTTTCTGCTGCTGTAACTGAGCACTACAGGGCTGGAAGCTTATAAAGAAAGAAGGTTCTGGCCAAGCAAGGTAGGTCACAGCTGTAATCCCAGATATTCAAAAGGCAGAGATCAGGAAGATTGGCAACAGGCCTGCTTCCCTCTGTGTGCATGTGTATGTGAATTTCTTTATGTTTTTGTTTTGTTTGTTGTTGTTTGAGGTAGTGAGGCTTAAGACCCCATCCCAACCAATAAGCCTTGCTTGGTGTTGCACACTTGTCATCCCAGCTACACAGGAATATGTAAATAGGAGGATCTAAGCCCAGGCATAAAAGAGACCCTATATAAAAGCAAACTCAAACAAAAAGGCCTGGGGGTGTAGTTCACATGGTGAGAGTTCCTGTCTAGCAAGCAGGAGGCCCAAAGTTCAATCCCCAGTACCTCAGAAAAAAGAAAGAAAAAGTCCAGGACTGGGGCACTTCGTTAGCTCTCTCTTACCCCATAAGATCACCCTGAGAGTTGGTGGCTTAAAGAGATAACCAGCACTGTAGCAGGGAGGAGGACCAGAAAACTAGCAGACAAGCCTGTGTTCTGATAATGTAGCAGGGGGCAGGGAAGGGATGGCATAGCAGAGAGATAAAACTTAAAGAATCTAAATGTGAAGAAGGTCACACAACACTTGGGGGGGTGAAGTAGCCAACACTGTTGCATGCAACCACATATAGGTTAGACTTTGCTTTTTGCTTCTGGAACTTGCTTGCAAGGGTCTGTAAGGTGAGACCCCTTGGTTCTCGGGGCTCAGCCTTTGCATGTGAATCCGGCACAATAAATCATTGCTTCCTACTGCCTCAGTGTCCCGTGTCTCTGTTCGAGATTCCTGCAACACCACGTGTTCCCTCTCACAGTCTGTGGCTGGGCCTTGGGAAGGGGCTGAGCTGCAGGGTTCTGTGTTGGGTAACAGGTAAAATCACTGTCCTCTTGTCCTCTCAGCTGCTGGCATCCCCCGACCACAGTTTGCTCTGGTCCATGAGCCTCGGTGGGATGCTGGAGGGTCCTCACAATGTGACAGCTGGACTCCTCCCAAGAGAGACCCAAGATATGGTGGCAACTTTTTGCTCTCCTCCACCTGGCCTCTGAAGTCCCACACTGTCACATCCGCAGTGTCCTACTGATCACAAAGAGCAGCCCACTGCCTTATGGGAGGGGCCGGAACTCAGGACCTCACACTTTTGAGGCAGGTGCTCTCCCACTTGAGCCACTCCACCAGCCCTTTTGCTTTTAGTGTTTTTGCTTTTTAGAAAGGATCTCAGATGGAGCTCCTCCCACCTCTACTCCCTCATAGCTGGGATCACAGGTGTGCTTCACCAAGCTTGGCTTGTTCTTTGAGACGGGGGTGAGGGTCTCACTGACTTTTTCTTTTTTTTTTTTTGAAGTACTGAGGTTTGAACTCAGGACCTACAACTTGAGCCACTCCACCAGCCCTTCTTGTGATGGTTTTTATTTTTCGAGATAAGGTCTCAAGAACTCAAGATCCTCCTGATCTGAACCACCTGCGCTCAACTCGTGATGGGCTTTTCTGAGATAGGGTCTCCAGAACCATTTGCCTGGGCTGGTTTCAAACCTTGATCCAACTGATGTCTGCCCCCTGCCCAGAGGCTGACTTAGGGTATCCAGGGACATCCGGCTTCCCACTGGCTTGGATCGATGGAGCCCAGTCCAGAAACTGGGAGGACATTAAAGTTGGGGTGCTTATTTTCCTAGCAATGGTCACAGCTCCCCACAGCCACTGGCTTCCCCACGTCCCACCCATCCTGTTAAATTTGTCCTCCTACCTGAGGCTGCCCAACACGAGCCCCTCTCCCAGGGGGCCCCTGGCACTGCCACCAGCATTCGGTATAGTATAAACCCCCTCCTGGGTGGACATTTTTCCAGCGTCGGTCACCAGCTTAATTCCTTGCCCGCTTAGCATCACGAGGACTTGTTGGTTCCCAAAGAACAATGCAGACATGCTTCGTGGCCCACACTGGCTCCCGGGGTCCGGATGGGGCTGTGTGACTTGTATTTTACCCTGTGGGATCCAAACGCAAAGGGCACCCAGTGTTGTGCTGTGTTTGCTGTGCCTTACTTGGAAAAGGAAGTGAAGAGTGGACGTTAGCAAGGTGCCAACAGTAAATTGCACTCAATTCACTCAACAGGTATTTACTGAGCTCTTTACTGGATTTATGAGCTCCAAAGCCAGGTGCTCAGAGACGCCCTGTCCCTTGGCAGACAGGAGGAAAGGAAGCCCTGCAGGGCAGTCACTGCTTCTGGTCCCTGAAGCCCAAGTTCTCGTGCCTGGCTCTTCAGACAGCATGGAGCCAGTACCTGCGTGTGTGTGTGTGTGTGTGTGTGTGTGTGTGTGTGTGTGAAGTCGTGTCCCCTCTCCGATTCCCCTGTGGAAGTCCTAACCCCCCCAGGACCTGAGATGGCAGACCTTATTTGGAAATTAGTGGCAGCAGTTGTAATCAAGATGAGGTCATTCTGGAGTGGCCCTTAATCTATTAGGACCAGGGACATGCAAGGGGCAAATATCACTGAAGGACAGAGACAAAGATTAACTTTTTTTTTTTTGGTGGTACCGGAATTTGAACTCAGGGCCTACACCTTGAGCCACTCCACCAGCCCTTCTTTGTGATGGGTATTTTTGAGATAGGGTCTCACAAACTAGTTCCCCAGGTTGGCTTCGAGCCAAGATCCTCCTGATCTCTGCCTCCTGAGTAGCTGGGATTACTGGCAGAAGCACCTGAGTCCAGCAAGAGATTAAGTTCTGAGAAGTGAGAGAAAAAGTTTTCTACTGTTCTCAGCCACCCAGTTTCTATTACACTGCTATGGTTTATTTTATTATTTTTTTTTTTTTTTTGAGACAGGGTCTTACTTTGTAGCCCAGGTTGGCCTTAAACTTGAGCTCCTCCTGCCTCAGCCTCCTTTGTACTGGGTGCCCACCTCGGGCAAGGGCTACCCACCCTTGTGTGTTTAATGTACATCAATGATTCAGCCACCGAGCAGGAGAGAACCTGGCACATTAGAGGTGCGGGGGTGGGGCTTGGGCACAGCGTGTACTTAGCAGGGGGGGGGGCTCTGAACTCCACCCTCAGCAGCACAAAAAGGAAAGCAGAAGGGAGGGCTGGGGACCTAGCTCAAGTGGTAGATCACTTGCCTAGAAGGCCCAAGGACCTGGGTTCCATCCCCAGTTCTTAAAAACAAACAAAAATTAGCCAGGCACTGGTGGCTCACACCTGTAATCAGCTACTTAGGAGGCAGAGATCAGGAGGCTTGCGGTTTGAAGCCAGCCTGGGCAAATAAATAGTTTGTGAGACCTATCTTTAAAAAACCTTAACAAAAAAAGGGCTGGTGGAGTGGCTCAAGGTATAGGCCCTGAGTTCAAACCCCAGTACTGCAAAAAAAAAAAGGTAGATTTGAAGTTTTCCCTTGGCCTTGGCCCAAGTCCTGTGTTCCAGGCAGGAGATGAAACAAATGGCCACGAAGAGACACAGGTGAGTCAGAGTGTGAACTTCAGTTCCTGGAAACTGTCCCAGTCACATAGGTGTGGCCAGCAGGAACCTGACAGAAACATCCCTGCTTCTGATGTCTGGGAACCTCAGGGCCTGGCGAGATGGCAGGAAGGCGATCGTTCTAGAAGGAACTCCTGCCTGCGCCTGTTGCCTAGACCTCAAGAAAACCTATCCAGCTGGAGTCCTGGTCCCTCAGCTCATTCCCAAGTGTTGAGCCCAACCAAAAGAGGACTAGTTGGTGGCTGGTCCTCTCTGCCCCTTTGAACTTGACCCAGGAGAGTCAACAGGGTGGGGGGTTGGGGGGGGAGCGGAATTTGCTGATGGGACTTCTTTCTGCAGCGGTGCTGGGGCACTGGGGTGTCACACCATGGTCAAGTGCACGTGCCCTGCACACCAGCTGTTCTACGGGCTTCCCACACTCAGTAGCTGTGTGGCTCTGGGCAAGTGGCAGTGCCTCTCTGAGCATTAAAGCAGGACCCACCACCACCACTTGGTGTGGTGGGGCATGCTTGTAATCCCAGCACTCAGGAGGCTGAGGCAGAAGCGTCACAAGTTCAAGGC